TCTAGTGGAACCCAACTGGAATTTGGCTGGAGACTGGACGTAGCCCTGGTATTGGGTGAACCAGTATAAACACCGGTGATATCTTTCTAAACATTTCTCCTCTTTTAATTCTGTTACTGCGTTTATTATTGTTTGATTGCTTTGTGATTCAAGAACAGATCTGAAATCTTATTTTTACAAATAGATAATTTGTTTATTGCGAAAATCTTTCAAAGATCAATTCACCCCCCCTCTTGATCTCAGCCTTCTTTTCTAACAACTTGGTGATGACGTCTCAACTAATGATGCTGATAAATGTGTACTATAAATTTGAAAGTAATGAATGTGTCATGTAGATGACATGTTAATATTTAGTACATGCATTGACATAGTCTCTAGAACCAAGTTGTTTTTGGGATCTAAATTTGAAATGAAAAACATGGGTGAAACCAATGTGATTTTGAGAGTTAGAATCATAAGGAAGGGATATAATATTTTATTATCCCAAGAACAATATATTGAGAAATCCTTTAGGAAGTTTAGGTATTATGACTTCAAACCAGTAAGTACCCATTATGATGTCAACTCTAAATTAAATAAAAAATAGTGAAGACTCTATCTTTCAACTTCAGTATGCCCAGATAATTGAGAGTTTATTGCATTTAATGAACTTTTTTATACCTGACATTGCTTATGCAGTAGGTAGACTTAGTAGGTACACTCAATGTCCTAATCAAGAATATTGAGATGCACTTGCAAGACTTATGGGATACTTAAGATGTTCAATTGATTATGCATTTAATATAATGGATTTCACACTGTACTAGAAGGGTACAATGATGTTAACTGGATCTCTGATTCAGATGAAACAAAATCTATTAGTAATTATGTATTTACATTTGAGGGTGGTGCAATTACATGGAGATTAGTTAGACAAATAATTATTTCAAGATTAATATGGAATTAAAGTTTGTTATTCTTGAAATGACTAGTAGTGAATCTGAGTGGTTAAAAAACTTCTTAATAAATATTTCGTTAAGAATAAAACCAACCCGTTATGTTAATACATTGTGATTGTCAATTGACAATAACTATAGCTAAAAACAAGAATTATAATGGAAAGATCATATATATACAATTGAAACACAATTTGGTGAAACAACCGTTAAAGAGTGGAATAATTTCCATTGACTATGTAAAATCATAATGAAAACTAGCAAATTCTTTGACGAAACCTCTGGGGAGAAACATAATTTTGGAAATATTGAGGGAAATGAGACTCAAGCCACTTGCAAACAAACAAGTGATGGTAATCCAACCTTTGTGATTGGAGATCTCATGAATAAGGTTCACATAGATAAAAATAAGTCATTTGTTAGTTCTGTTAGCATTAAATTTGATTAAAATCAATTATGTCTATTCCTATGGTATGTATGATAGTGCTAGATATTGTATTATTGAGAGATTATGTGTTGTAAAAATTCTATGTGGTGTAAGAATTTTAGTCCAAACAAATTTTTTAATGATTTTCATATCCCTTATAGGTGGTGTATGATTTGCAACATGCGCTTTATGAAATCACCTTTATGAGTGTTGAATGAGACCGTTTGTTTGATATATTAACAATATTTCTAGAGCACTCATAAATACCAGACACATACATGACCTAGTAAGCGCAACACAATGACAACAACAAGAATTATAGGGTATATTGTGATTAATAAAATCGCTAACACACGCTAAGTGTTTTGGTTCATATAACTTGCTATACTATTTACATTGTATGTTAAGTTTCTCAATCTAAGACTAATTCATATACCTTACTATACCAGATACATTACATCTTATACGAAACCCATGGTTTTTTTTTCTTCATTTGATTTTGCAATGTGGGAGAGTTGTTAATTAAACAGAGAGTATTGCAAAATCTCTCTGCTCATAATGTGTTCCTCTCTTCTCCCGTGATTCCAAGCAACACTCACCCACGAAAATGTGGTTTGTGAACGTCATTGGGCCTCAAGCGCAAGACTTGCACAAACATTTCTGAACGTGTGTCTTTCCTCTGTAAGTGTTATTATGCAAAAATGAGTTTGTTACCCGTACCACACCTATAAATAAACCACCCCACATTCTTCTGAAACACACTTCACTCATCTTCTCTTCTCTCATTTTTTTCATATTCTGGGTTTATATACTCTTTTAAGAATTACTCGCTAGATTCTGAATTTTTCTCGAAAAATCTGGGAAGTTCTTGTTGTATCTTAGGAGACTTGTGCAATACACCATAGATAAGTCTAAAAGGATTATTATTATACACACCTCATAAATCAACATTTACAACAATATATACCCTTCTCCAATTGCAGAGCTTCTTGGGAAGTGAGAGGATCATAACGCCAAAAATTTTGTAACTTTCATTAGTATTTAAAATTTTTACCTCCCAAACTTAATAATTATTAACTATATTATATGTTTATAAATTTGACCTCTTATATTTTCATATTTTTTCACATTTTCATATTTATTTATTATTTATTAATAATATATTATTTGATTCCCTCAATATCAATAGTCATCATCTGTCATTGTCCTCATTTCTCAACTTATCAAGACATATTTTAAAGATAAAAATGCGATGAATAAAATTTTCAAAATAGACAATAGTTCAAAATGAGAATTAATCCTAATGATATTTTTATAACAAATTTCACTCTAATTTATTAATGTATCTTTTAAAAACAAAATTATGAAATAAATAATATCTCTTGTATTATCATAAACCCTATATTTTTATAATGAATGAGACCAATTCCATATATAAGTTGTTTAATTTTAACAAGATGATATATTTTTTCTTTTAACATCTTACACATTTATAATTATTTGATTAAATATTTTTAAAAATAAAAAAAATAGGATTATTTATTTAGCCCTGGTCAATACAATGTGGGACCTCCCACACATGATTTTCTCTCCATGTGATAGTCATTGTCATCTTTGCTTATACTATTACATGAAAATAGTCACACGCATCGCTAATTTATACGAGAATAAAAAAGTTACTAATAAAATACTACACATTTTTTATCTACTTTTTTAGTGAATTTTTAAAACTATGCATTATGATCACGTCTCTTTGTTAATTTAACAAAATTTTTAATTTTCACATTTGCCCTAAACTACACTCACATGGTGGAGTTGAAAAAAAGTATGGTAGATTATGAATACTAGACTTGCATAAATAAATAGACAAAGGACTTTGTTTTTAGTTTATAAATAAATGATTTTAGTAGAGCTTGGGTAGGTGTGCCACATTCACATGTGGTCATATGGTGGGTGTTATATGTGAAGGTGTACCTTAAAAAAAAATGTAAGATAATATTATTAAACATGATTCCACCACGTTTAATTTAATCTTTGAGACATTATCAAATGTTGTGAATTTTGTTTCACAAATAATATTTAAACTTAGTCATGATTTCGTGTTTCTTTTGTCTGAAGCAATACATGGACACAAGGCCTGTCTAATTTATTGTTTCTGATAAACACCCTTTTAATTTATTATGGGAAGCAAATTCAAATTTTCACTGCAAATCAAAATATTAAATTTGTATCTATTTATCTATCTATCTATCTATCTATCTATCTATCTATCTATCTATATATATATATATATATATATATATATATATATATATATATATATATATATATATATATACATATGAATCAATTTTCTTTTCTTACAAAACTCTAATCAAACTTTAAAACAATTATACTTTTGCATCAGCAATTAATTAATATGATCTAAATTAATAAATGAGAGATAAAATTGATAATAAAAAATAATATACTCTTTTAATAAAAAAATTACTAGATATTTTCTTGTTTTATAGTTTCTTTAACCAAATAGTTGATTGTTTCCAGTTTTGTTCAGTTTCATTCCGGTTCCTAGATCATTATTCTGTAAAAACTTCTTTTTAAATTCTGTTTTCTTTATATAAACATAAGTTCTTATTCTCTCATGAGAATTCTTTCACCATCTAAATATTAATATGGTATCTCTTGACCATTATTTCTCTCAATATTTATACATAAGAAAAATTATTACAAATAACATAATTTAGGAAAATATTATTTATGATATTTTATCAAAGAGGTCTAATTCAATTGATTAAACATAGTTGATATAATGAAAAGGATAAAAGTTATGCTTATAAGATTGTACATAAATTTATCTCACAATGAATTCAGTAATAAAAGTGGATTTTTATGCCTTTAACCTTATTTATGCTCTATGTGGTGTGTTGGGAGATTAATATTTCTTTCCTACTGAATGAAAGGATAATAATAAAAAAGAAAGAAAGTAATTTGTGCATTAAATGAGGTTGACTTAAATATTTTATATAGCATTAATAAGATTGTGAATTTGATCCCAAATTTGGAGAATATATATGCCATCGTTTTCCCTTGGTTACAAAATTTATATGATTGTCTCTGTAACTTAAAACTAAAACGAAACATTTGAGTAAATTGCAAGAATGAATCGCCAGTGGCACGAGCTAAAGTGGTGGTCGGGTGTCTTACACACGTGCGCTATTTCACCAGGTGGCAGTACAAAACGGCACTGTCACCGACAAACCTCGTAGGTTCTTCTTGTGAATCAATCCGAGGATCGTGCACGTGCTCCTTTACCGGACCATCCCGTCACGCCACCGGTTTACTGGCAAAACAGCCACCTTTGATAACCCGTCTTTTCTTTTCTTGTAAAATACGATTTAACGGTTAAGATCTTACGAAATTCGTGTGAAACTCGACCCCACTAGACTTGCCTTTTTCTGATGCAGTTTGCACCTTTTCCTTTCGTCTTCTTTGTTTCTCTGTCTCTCACGTCCTTCTTATTGTTCTTGTTGTTGTGAGTAAGTAGCAAGGTTGCTTCTTCCCTTTTGTTTTTCTAAGGAAGAGGACTTTCAATTTTTCAACTGTGCAAAATTCACTGGGTTGTGCTTTTTGTCTCTGAAATGGAGAGAGATTTCATGGGTCTCAACTCGAAAGAACCACTAGCTGTGGTCAAGAAGGAGATCAACGATGATGGCTACGAAGACTCTGGCATGTTTTCACTTTTTCTTTTATTTTTATATTTGTATATATTTCATTGCTTTCTTGCAGAGTTCCAGTCCTTCTTGTGAATTACGTCCAGTTTCATTTTTTTAATTTCTTGGTTCAATTGATACACTCTTTGATTGCATGTGGGTTTATTTATGTTAGAAAATTGTCCCTTTTCACTATGTTCATAGATTTGCTTGGTTATAGTAATTTTTCTTTTTCTTAGCTCTTCCTTTTATTTTATAAGTTTTTCTCTGTTTGGCATAAAACTTTGCTTATGTGTAAATCTTTTACCACCTACCTATTTATTAGGAAGTATTGAGATAGATTTTACTAGTGGAAATAATTAAGGTGTGAGTGACTCTTGTTATGTATTTTAAGTAGTGTAGTGTGTTGTGAAATTTTCAATCTGGGGAAAGAAATCGTTGTCAAGTAGTTACCGGTTTTGTTGATTTGGGTGTCACGTAGAGAAATTTTCCAACAGGTTATTAGGTGCTAACTGTGGAACGATTTTTAATATCTGTTTTCTCCCTTAAGGTCTATTGGCCAATTAACTCAGGTGTAAAATCTTTTCCTAACCTATGTTGATGGTGATTTTTGTGGGTATGTGTAGGTTTCACAAAGGGTTCCATTGCACAGTGGCCCTTCTCGAACAAAGTATCTGCCCTTCCACATTTGATGTCTTTCAAGGCTTCTCAAGATGATAAGACTAAGAACATAGTGTCTGATCCCATAACATCTGGGCTTTTATCTATCTTAAGTCAAGATGCAATTGAATCTAGTCAGAAACGCTTTGCTGGTGAACCCCAGGTTAGATGCTACCTTTTCTCTCAGTACCACATAATATATATCTAAAATTGACAAGTTAGCTCAACAGTCAGTGTTTAAGCCTTAAATTAAAGTAAAATGAGTATAATTTGTTTTTTGGTATTACAACTGGTATTTTAATTTAAGTCAACTATGAAAATTAAGAGTATAACTTTTTTCCTTTTTGATTCTCTATGTAAAAATCTGCTCTTGCTTATGGTTGTCCCAAGCCCTTTGGGTGTATGAACTTCTTCCCTTTTGGATCAGAACCTAACTGGTGGTTGTTGTGCAACTTCTCATGCCTGTTGTTTTAAATCATTGATAGATTGACCTAATCCTCAAGATCTTACCTTCAATAAGTATTATCTGATGTCTTTTTTGCCCTTCCTTCCATTGATTGTTTGTTATTACTACTATTTAGAAATCTTTCAATCATGATGGGCACGGTGGTCGTCATTTTTCGCTGACTCCATATCCTGTACAACATGATACCAATTCTGTGAATCATCCTCATGATGTGAAGATGTTTTCAGTTCCCAATCAAGCAATTTCAGTTTCCTTGGGGAATCCATTCCTGAAGAATCATTTTGCAACTGCTGGTCATAATATGAATGGCACTGGTGTGATGCAGCCATTACTTGGGGGAATACCTGTTTCTGTTCCCCATTCAGCTCTTCCCAACGCTGGTGCTGTTGCTGGAATGATTCAATCATGGTAATTTTAATTTTATCTTTGAACTGAATTGTGTGACTGTATACAAACTTGTTTCTGTTTTTTATTTTTGTTATTTTTAAGTAACAGCGTGAAACCATCTCCACCTTCTGCCCAACTTACCATCTTCTATGCGGGAACTGTCAAGGTCTTTAATGATATCTCTGCTGAAAAGGTAACAATTTCTTTGTTCTTCATATTCCTTCCACCTCCAATTCATAATATAGTAATATGTAAAGTGGGAGCATACATCTTGTATTACCTATTGATCATGGTTAAGCATTTAAAACGTGACCATCTTTTCCCAGGCACAAGCTATCATGCTGTTGGCTGGCAATAGCTTATCTATAGCTCCTAACATGGCCCAGCCAAAAGTTCACGCGCCTGTCTCGAAGATGGCTGGTGGCGATGGTGTGCCTGTGAGTCAACCAGCGAATACACCACCCGGCTCTGGCCTTTCAAGCCCTTTATCTGTTTCTTCACATACTGGACTGCAGTCAGGGAGTGGCTCAACCAGCACTGATGAATTTCTTGCTTCTAAAACAACTGGAGTTCCCACTACTCCTGTTAGCAATGTGGACCCTCCAAAGGTAGTCAGTGCAACCACTATGTTGACATCAGGTATGTTGGTGACATCATGTCTGACACTCTTTGCAGTTGATGGTTCTGTAGTTCATCATCATTTGCGTGTATTGATCTCTTGCATGGGGTATTTGTCACAACTTATAGTCTTGTATGATGAGGGACGGATCCATCTGCAGTCTCGAATTTATCTTGTGTATGATCATTACAACTATTTCAGTTTAATGATTTCTATAAGCCATCTGTTCTGCAGCTGTACCTCAGGCTCGGAAAGCATCCTTGGCTCGATTTTTAGAAAAGCGCAAAGAAAGGTTAGTTGATATACATTCCTTTTTGGATGTGCCTGTGCGTAATCTGATACACAATTTATATTTCTCGACAAAAGGAAAGCATACTTGTTATAAATATCATCACTATGATATTTATTTCCCTATTTTAACCAATCAAATTTTGAGGAAAGAAAATTCATTGGATGTATTTCAATTGAGCCCTTTCCTTTCCATTCCATCCTCTACTTGCTGAAACTTGCAAACATAACTTTCTTGTCTTTGTATATTTCTCTAATTTAAGATGCTGGTAGGAGGGACTCAAGTATTGGTAATATAAGGTTTTTCTTCTGCTTTGGGTTTAAGATATTTAGTCTTGTATATCTTCTTGCTTAAAGCTGGCAGTTGAGTGTTGATGTGTGTGTTTGCAGGGTGATGAGTGCAGCACCATATAATCTCAACAACAAGTCTGAAGAGTGTGCAGCTGCAGAATAAGCTGGTGCTAATTTTTCTGCAGGTACTGCAACTAATACTGTCTCGGCAATGCAAGGATAGTAGCCAGAACCTTTAGGAAACTATTTCAGAGGAAAATATTGTTGTAACCTAAAGATGTTGTAAGCAGATGCTTTTATTTTGGTTGATCACAATTTGTGCTGTCATTTTTCTGAAGTACCAGACTTGATTCAGTTCATAGATAGATCAATATTACATAATCATTTTTGTGGTTTAGGGCTTTTACCTTGTTATTTGAAATATTGGTTGAATTTTAGGTTCCTATACTGTAGCATTGGACAACTATATGTAACTCATTATTTGTTTACATTTGTGGAGTAAAAGCCCAGTTTAGATATTTATTTATATATTGTGTAGTTCTTATTTCTACTTTGCTTTTGTGATAAACGTGTTTTTTTAAGGACCACACAAAAAAAGGATAGATAGTAAGGAATGAATCCCCAGATCTTTGAACATGAAAAAAACAAGGAAATAAGGAAATTTTTATTTATTTATTTATAGGAATTAAATATATGTTTAATTAAATTAAAAAATTAATACAAAATTTATAGGATCAAATTGATTTTGGATAAAAAAATTTAATTTTTATTAATATATTTTGTTATAAAAGAAATAATATATATATATATATATATTTTTTTTTCATCTTATATTAATTATGTTAACTTTAAATAATAATTATTATATTATATTTTTATTTTATTTTAATTATTATTTATCTTATATTTTATATTTATAATTTTTATTATATTAATTATTATATTATAAAATATTAATTTATTAAATTCGATTAATAGATTAAATCCGTTGAGTTTTTAAATTTAAAAAACGTAGACAAATACTATTGCTTATATTTACAACAAGGACCTGTTTGGATACATGTAAACGGAATTTGGAACACTTTTTTAGACAAAAATCAGAAGTAAGAACATGTTGTTACTTCAACTAGGGCTGGTGTGTCATTTGGAGAGTCCAGCTTAGAACATTACTTTATAATATGACTTCATAGATAGGTCAATGAATTAAGAATCTTAAGTTTGTCTTCAAGTTAATGAATTTAAGACCTTAAATAGATCAAACAAATACATAAATATTAAAAATATAATAAATTTAATATAGTTTTAATTTTTTATGTGTAATTTTGGGAAACATAATCACTTCTGATTGTTATCCAAACATGCAGTAAGTTATTTCCATCCATATAATAATTATAGAACATTCTATTATTATTAAAAATGACTTGTTTTAAAAATATTACAAGTTGTAAAAAAAATTGCAGGCCTTTAAGCTAAACAAAGTAGAAAACCTTACCCAAATACAAAAACTAAATGGCAGACACGGTTTCTTAAATCATGATATCATAAACAAACATTCACGCACAATGTATAAACTGTACTTATTAATTATCTTCACCTCAACTTTTGTTTTTTTCTACCCAAACAAATAAATAAATGTTTTTTACACGCTAATAAGATAAATAAACTTTAACGGATGAAGTTCAACATATTAATGAATAATTGATTTTTTTAAGTGTATGGTTAAGGTTCGATGCTTTACTATATTAAAAGAAAATTTTGTTTCAAAATGTAAACTTGACGAACATGTTGATTAAAATATGATGAAAATGAAAATACTAAGATAATCACGTTATCAACAAATAGTAAATTGGATGGTCATAACGCGCATTTGGTAGATAAGATTTTTGCGTAGAATTGATTTTTCGCATGTTACACTTTTAAGTCATTTTCAAACACCCTTACAAATTTATTTTATACATTTTTTTAATACGGAAGAATTAAATTTATGATATTAATATATTAGATTTATAAATTTGAAGTCTAAAAATATGACATTTTGTTTTAATTTATATAAATTTTTATTATTTTTAGTCTCTAAAACTACAAAATCAAGTTTTTATCATATTTTTTTTAATATATGATTAAAATATATAGGGAAACAGGAAAAAGAAATATTTTGTGGAGGGAATATATTTAAACCAATAAGGCATTTCCTTATCACGTAACAAACAGTTGTGATACACATTTTCATAAATATTTTACGCAATAATCCCACATATTTCATATAACACTTGTCTCTCTTCTGTAAGAGAGAAATATTTTTCTGAAGAAAATATAAAAAATTCTTTAACAGAAAAAGTAGCCCCTCAATAACTTAATACAAAGTAATTGTTGAAAAAGCTCTACAACATTGATCCTCCGTGAATAAATAATTTCATTTTCATCTGTTTTCTATATATACTTGTAAAATAGGTTATGGGGAGGTAGCTTTTTATAAGAGAAAAGACAGAAGAGTTAAGTGGAAGAGACATTCTCTACTCCATTATGATTCATAAAGAATATTGGTACCCCACTAGATCATAGTAGACAAATCATATCAAAGATTAGTGCAAAAGTAACTTCAGAAAGAACACAGTTGTATAAGGAAAAAAAAGTATTAATTTCAGGGATTGAACTTAAGTAAAAAACAGTGTAACACCGTCCTAAGAAGCTAGTAAGAATCCAATATTTACCAAGATGGAAAATCTAGACGAGTCACACCCCTTGGACTACTGATATTATAAGGGAAAATAAAATAATTAATTATTTTGTGTCGCATCACTTTCTTATTAATGGTCGATTGTTGCATCACTCCTTCAATTATTATTTTTGCCTAAAGATTCTTGGACCACTTGGTCTTGTACAACCCACCTTCTTATGTCATCAATTCTGTATGTTGTATTAGAAAATTAAAAAAGAATCATCATGCATGAAAGATGCATTTGCTCCAAAAACATTCTTATATCCCTTATCTATTCATGAATTGGTGAACAGTAGCTTCTCTCTCAACCACACTGGTATACTTCTCAGTTATTTCCTAAACTAGAAGTTCAGTTCATATTTCTATGTCATATGTGCATGATAGCAACGTTTACTTGTGCAGTGAACATACATTTGACAGCTTCTGATGTGATTATGGAAAAATGTGTGACATGAAGAGATTGTGTGAAGATATGCAAATTTCTCTTACACCATTTTGTTAAAAAACTACAAATAGTTCTTTAGCACCTAATTTGGATTAGGGACTAACTTTGGATGAGAGGCAGTATAAATAGAAGAACTCAACATAAGGGTTATTCTGTTTTCACTGATGCCCTCACAATGAGAGACAAAAGGCCTAGTCATGGTTTGCTGCTAGCTTCATAGCCACCAGGTATGTGTTACAGATATGCAGTTCATACACAATTCATACTAATCTCAGTAATATTATTTGTACTCAAACAAAGAAACAAACAAAAAGTACAGTTCATTGTTTTCACATTATCAAACAACATTAAATTCACATGTCTGGTACATTGTTTATTCATAAAAAGAAAATAACAAATGCTAATTCATCTTATAGTAAGAATAATTTGAAAACTCTAAATCAATATCCTAAATAGGCCAATTAGAAAAAATTAATCATTGTTGTTGTTACAGTAACTTGGAAAGCTAATAATATAACAGATCATCGTCAATATAATCAGTGATCCTGAGAATAGAGACACATTTAAAATACAACCAATATGTGATATGACTAGGTGGTGAACAGGCATAGAATTCTGTAACTATGGCTTGCCTGCAGAGGACCTCCCTGACCTTAATAATAGATCACATGATGGTTGAGCACCACCAAGTGGCATTAATAGTTAAACATAAGGAATGGCATCAAGCAGAGAATAAACACAGTATGACATCGAGAATAAATTAGCAGAACTTAACAGAAGTGAATGAGATCGGTTATGTCTGAATCTGATGTTTCAATAACTGTAGATGCTTGGGAGTTTCCTCCAAATACATTGACTAGTACACTTAAATAGTAACAGGGTCTTACTATTTGGTTTAAGCAAACTATGCTTTACATGATATTAGTCAATTTTCTAGGTCTTAAAGGAAACTTCTAAATTTGCAATAGAAAAAATAGATATATTCTGGGTCAAACTATTTCTAATCTGAAATGAGATCTTGCTAATATGCATGACTATAAGTCGAGAAACAAATTAACAACTATTTATAATATACAAGGGTAAACTCGTGGACCTGATAGTTTTTCTCTTTCCCTTCTACTGGTTATACTGTTCATTGATCACTGTCTTACAAAATTTTGTACTATATTATTTTGTTTCCTTATCTTTCTCAATCAAATAACTCTTTTATTTCACATTTCTCTCTTATCTTATCTGTTCCTTTGTTGGGCAAAAAATATACTAATTTTTTTCTACACATGCAATCTCCCTTTCTGTTTTATTTGTAATAGAGACCATACAATCAGTTTTAATATTTTATGTGATTATACAGAAATTGCTGATATGTTAAATTGATATTGGAATGATAAATGTGAGCAAAGAAGTCAGAATGTAAAACTTGATCAACTTATAAATATAAAAGACTCATCTAATGTCTTGAAATTTTGAATAGGATGTTTTTAGTTCATTTTCTGATTCTGGATAGAGGTATCCCCGATCTCTTACCCCATCAAGCAATTTAGAGTTTGAAATTTGCAAATGCAAATACGTGTTAGCTCTATATATAACTGACTTACTGAGGATTTAGGTTTTTGTAATTACAAGAAAAAGATAAAAAAGGAGAGACAAGTACAAATCAGAGTATCAACAGCGCATTCCTCACATAATAAGGCTCCAAAAACAGCAGGACTCCTGTTTAAATATAGTCCTTAGAATTATGTTTTAATGACAAAACAATTTCATAAAATTTAAATATTTCATTTTTTTGAAAGACTAAATTGATAATCCCTCAAAACAAATTTGTTCTTTTACCTTTTTTTTTTTCTATTATTTTAGGAGGTTTCAGCATATACTTTTAACCTGTATCAGTACTTTCTTGTTCATTCATAGTACTCCACATTACTTCAGATATTTGTATGACTCTTTTTAACACAAAAGGTGGTGTCAGTTCCATGTTCTTTCAACAACTCTTTCCTCCATTGGTTTTTTCTATAACACTCCATATTGCTTTAGAAATTGTATCACCTTTTTAACAAAAGCTGATGCTAGTGCCATGTTCTGTCAACTACTCTGATTTCATTTGGTAGTTTGAATAAATTTGGCTCAAAATTTCACAAGAGCCTCTAATGACAGTTGAGGTGATGTAATTCCTAGGAGGACACAGGACATGACAATAAGAAAGGATGGATGAAATTATTAGAAGGAAGAAGGAGATTGAAAAGGAGAACTAAAAGAGAAACAGACCCATAACTGTGCCTAATTTATGCAAACAGAAAATGGCAATCAGGAAAGCACCAAGTTCTTTTATATTTCTAAAATCAAGTTCATTGAGAACATAGAAAAAACATGCTATTATATCATGAACAAATGTAAGGCTTAGAGGGTACTAAGTAAGCAATGAAATGGAGTTATCATTCTTCCATTCCAGTTATATTTTCTATTGTACTGCATATTTCAGGTGAATAAAGCCCAAATAATTTCTTTCTCAAAACAAAAGGAGAAGAAAGAAATGAAGAATAAATTGTCAATGCAGTGTGCTGGATCCATAGCATGATTTTCAGTAAGTTCATAAAAAAATTAAGGGAATGACAGGAAGAAAACGTGCTGAATATCAGAAAATAACACAAAACGCATATCTAAACAATTTGGTGCAGATGGTGTCAGGTTTGTGATGCACAAAAAAGTGCATTATTTTGAACACCGACAAATAAAACTGGGATCGTAAAAAGAACTCTAATAAGAAAATTACATTTATCTCAACAGAATATGAAATGTAATTTGTTATATACAATATCTTTTGTTCTACCCAACTAACCTTTGCATTTACCAAGCTATAGTAATATTATAGTTACTTTCATTCCTCGTTTTCATGTCACAGCCACTTGAACATATAGGAAGAGTCGTCATTCATTTCTACACGAGTAATATGTTTTTACGTTTTTTTAGTTATCAAAATTATTTAAAAAAAAAATCAAATTGGATCACCCAATTCAATAGAAAACTGTCTTAATCACCTCCATTAACTAAAATAATTAAAGCACTTAGAGACTCAAAAGCAGATTCCTTTAACTGGAAAAAAAATATACGACAAATTTTCTCAATCTTGGTAAAATAAAATTGATATTTTGTGTTTTTACATACAAAAATGTAAATTAACTAAAAATTAGATAAAAATAAAAATATAACTGAGAAGAAAATAATTAACCTTGTCTTAAAATTAATATTATATATTATTATTTGAATCAATATTTGTTAGGAGGTTATTTCCAGGGATTAACTAACCCTGCATCTGTTCCAATTATGAAAAGTAGAGAGGGAAATGTGATGATTTCACGCATAAAAAAATTACAAAATCGAGGTAAAAATTCATCATTACAAAAAACGAAGAATAACGTGGAAAATTTATTTATTTTTATATACTTAACATAATCGATTATATAAAAAAATTAAATAATATACATATTTTTTCTTATTATAATAATAAATAATTAAAAATATAAATTATAATAAAATTATTAAAATTTATTAATAATAATATAAATTAATTTAACTTTTTACTTATTTCTTTTAATTCAAATAATTTTAATTTCTATTTTTTTTCATTTTCTCCTTTTTAATTTTTTTTAATCTAAATAAAATATAAGAGACATAAGATAAATATATAAAATAATATGATATTAATTTTAATATAAAATTTTAAAAATAATATATTTTTGGATAATGATAAATTTTGATGATAAATCTTAAGATTAAATAATATATTATTAATAAATAAATATAAAAAAACAAAAAAAAAATGAACAATTAAATTTATAAATATATAATCACGTATATTTAATAATTATTAAAATTAAGAAATCAAAATAATGAATATAAGGTATAAAACTTTGTGCTGGTGACGTCTACAATAAATGTATAATTATGGATGCTGATAGTTGAAAGAAACTTGTGACCAGTTGAATCCTTCAACTTTAATTATGTATTAAGTTTGATTCTGTTATTCATTCTTTATCACTTTACTTTCATATTTGTTGATCAAGTCATTTTAGAGTTTTTCTTTTATTTGTTTTTTCCACGGTGTTAAAGAAAAGTGTATACGAAAGATTAAAATAAATACATAATTTTTAATAAATAATTATATTAATTAATAAATCACAGAAACACGTTTGTTTTATGAGAGTTGATAAATTGACATTTAAGTGATAAATTTTATAAAATTCTATTTGTAAAATAAAATAAAAATTATCTTAGGAAGATAGAACTCTAACAGAATTTCTATATCTTTTCAGCATTGTAATAATTGAATATGCATTTAAGAAAGCAAGTTTGTGTACAAGATTTTCTCTCTTTCCTACTCATTTTAATTTTTCCCACCCTTCTTTATTATCTCTTTACAATTAAATTAAATTAAAAAAAAAAAAAAACCACCTATTGTTTACGTATCCGTCAACTTTTACATGAAATAAAAATCTAAGCTTTTTTGTAGTTTGGCACACGTGCATTATAACCGTTGGATTCGACACATAGACACACATCATGACGTGGCGAAAATCCTAACTCTAAGAATGTTTCTTTCTCTTCTTTCTCTCTCCTCCACCTCACACTCTTCCACTCTCTCAAAAGGAGCAAACTTTCATTTCATTTGCTTTTCCCTCGCATACTAGGAGATTTCCCAATTTTCTGCCCTTCTTTCATTTCGATTTACTTTCTTTGCAGTTTTTCTGTTGGGGGTTTCCTTTGAAATTCACATTGTAAGCAGTGCTCCTTTTATGTTGCTGCTGGACACATTCAACTCTCATGGCTCTGCTACTGCTGTTCTTCATACTTCCTCTCTCAATTTCTGCATCTGGGTCTGGGGGTAAAGTTTCTGCATCTATGTTCCTTTTTTAGTTGCCACTCAGTTTTTGTTAATTAGTTTATCTATGTTGTTCATGTTTCCCCCCTCTTTTAGATGTATTAATGCCTCATGGATTTCATTTTTTTCTTCTTTTAGGCCTTTGGTTTTTGTTTTTTCTTCATTATATCAGCATCATCCTACCATGAACAGTTCTTTCTGCCCATTGAAAGAGGCATTGGTTAATTCTTTCTTGTTTATGATTTAGTCAATGTTTTCCTTGTTCTCTCTTTTCTATTGCATTCACCTTCCTATTTTGACATTTGAAGATGAGAGAGAAGGGGGATTAGTAACTGTTAAGTGTCTCTTTCATTTTTATTTTGTTATTCTTGTTCAAAGTAAAGGGTTTTCTGTGAGAAAATCTTTTACTTTGTACAGAGCCAACGATCTGTCCTTTCCCGTCTTTGGTGGGAGCAATGTTGTTGCGTCCCAGCTCATCGCACACTGTTACTCTGTTATATTTGGCAGTAAACTGCACTTTGTAAAAAAAAAAGAAAAGGACTAAAATACCCTTATTTGAGAAAACCAGATATGAATGTTGAAAAAGGTATTGTCACACTTCACTAATTGTAACTGTGAAACTAACCAGAAAGTTAAACCTAGGTCCACAATATTAAATGGAACAAGCTGCCATCTACCATTTATAAATAAATGCATTTTCATGAAAATCTGCATTCTAGAATAGGCAATTAAGGCTACACGGAAGAAGAACAAATAAAGCTTTACCTATGTCACCTGAAAATGCTTCAGGGATAGTGGACGCTGAGGTGATTTTGACATTTGAAGACAAAGGCATACATACATTCACCTGTCTTTATGTGGTTTTCTGTGTGTAACTAACCTACTATCAATATTTTTAGTTCTGGAATTTAATAACCGTAGTAAGAAAGTGGTCTAGGTAATGTGGTACTTCATTCTGATCCCTTAGGTTCCCATGGACTGAGTTGCCAAATAATTATACAGCATTTTATATTCGTAGCTTGCTAATTGAAGTGAATTTCTTTCTTGTGTATCTTGGCGGGTAGAAGAGCTAGCTGCTACTGATGTGAACGTGTAACCTACCAACCAACAATCATATGAGTGTGTTTCACATCTTTTAGCTAATAGATGTCTCCTTAGGTCCTACCCTTACTGATAAAAACAATAAACACATGGAGTGACAGGTAAAAACAGCTGACCTCAACTTTTGTCTTGGCTCACGTCTTCACCATCAAATATGGCCAGTGCAGTTGATGTGTCAAGGGCCACTTCTAATTTGATTGCATCTAAGGATATTACTAGTTAGCTAGATGAACAATTTGGTCATCTATAGACCCTTGCCATACTTATTATGATTATTATTATAGTATCTCTGACAGGGAACCTAAATGGTTGATTATGACAGAACTACGTGCTAGTATGCTATACCTATGACTGATTTCAACTAGGCTATGTTCTAGAATTTGACTTAGGAACTGCAAAAGTAGGGTTTATAAACTTTTCACACTTTTATGCGTGGGTAAAATTTCTCATATGTTTTAGATTATGATATGCCAGCTTATTTCCGAAAAACTGTAACAAGATATAGTTCTTGAATGTTATTACTTGCTATTTCACATGTGAAGCTGAGCGCTGCTGCTAATTATTGTAGCAGGCTATATCTTTTCACAACAAAGGTGGTGTATATATTATAAACAGTAAAATTATAGAGCCAACTTGTCAGATAGGTGAATCATTCTCCATTCTCCTTTTCTTGAACCATATGTTTCTCAAGAAGTACATACATTTCTTTGGCTGTCACGTTTCATATTTAATTTGGGGGACACTTGGTAACCCTACCGACCTGCTGGTGTTGTCACTGATTACATTATGAAACTTCCTCAATGTGTTTTATGACATTTTTATAGCGAAATCTAGGATCTAGAGGGGGAAAGCGCGTGTCAGTAAATAATGTTAAAACATATCTTTTACTTCTTAATCTCTGATTAATGTCCCAGTTGGCCTCTTATTTCGTTTCTGAAGGCTTAGATTGTTTATATCCTTTTTCTGAAAATGTAGTGCATTTTCTAATCTATTTGATGTATCTTAAATTGAGATTGAGGGTTTATACCTCACTGCTCTTGTAATTTACTCCATATCACTAAGTTGCGCATTCTCTTTCGTGTTTGGATTTACTATACAAGTATACAGTGTTTTTTTCTCTTTCCTATCTGTCGGTGATGGTTGCTGACATTTTTTTCCAGTTTATGATCAATATCACATGGTCACCTTTGAGTCGCTCGTGTTAAAATGAAAGTCCTTCATTCATAAGCCCCACTTGTTTTTTGGCAGATGCTTTTATTGGTGTCAACATTGGTTCAGATATATTTGACATGCCAGGTCCAACAGAGATCGTTGCTCTTCTGAAGGCTCAAAGTATCCAACATGTGAGACTCTATGATGCTGACCGAGCCTTGCTTCTTGCACTTGCCAAGACAGGAATCCGTGTAACCGTCTCTGTTCCCAATGACCAGCTACTTGGCATTGGTCAGTCCAATGCGACTGCAGCAAACTGGGTTACTCGAAATGTCATAGCTCATGTCCCTGCTACTAACATCACTGCCATATGTGTTGGATCTGAGGTACTAACTACGCTCCCAAATGCAGCCCCTATTCTTGTCTCTGCCATAAATTTCATTCACTCTGCTCTCGTTGCTGCTAATCTAGATCAGCAAATTAAAGTCTCTAGTCCGCACTCTTCTTCTATCATCCTTGATTCTTTCCCTCCTTCCCAAGCATTTTTCAACCGTACATGGAATCCAGTCCTGGTTCCCATGCTTAAATTTTTGCAATCAACAGGTTCATATCTTATGCTCAACGTGTACCCATATTATGATTACCTGCAGTCCAATGATGTAATCCCACTGGATTATGCTTTATTCCGCCCCCTACCTCCAAATAAAGAAGCTGTTGATTCCAACACTCTGCTGCATTATACTAATGTTTTTGATGCAGTTATTGATGCTGCATATTTTGCAATGTCGGATTTGAACTTCACCAATATCCCTATTCTGGTGACTGAGTCAGGATGGCCCTCCAAAGGTGACTCAACTGAACCCGATGCAACTATTGATAATGCCAACACTTACAACAGTAACTTGATCAGACATGTCCTTAACAATACGGGGACTCCTAAACATCCTGGAATTGCAGTTAGTACATTTATTTATGAGCTTTATAATGAAGACTTAAGATCAGGTCCAGTCTCGGAAAAGAACTGGGGGCTATTTTATGCCAATGGAGAACCGGTGTATACCTTACACTTGACTGGTGCTGGTATTCTATTTGCAAATGATACTACAAACCAAACCTTTTGTGTCGCAAAGACTAATGCTGACCCTAAGATGTTACAAGCAGCACTTGATTGGGCTTGTGGACCGGGGAAGGTGGATTGTTCCCCTTTGCTGCAGGGTCAATCATGTTATGAACCGGATAATGTAGTTGCACATTCTACGTATGCTTTCAATGCATATTATCAGAAGATGGATAAATCTCCGGGGAGTTGTGATTTCAAAGGTGTTGCATCTATCACTACGACAGACCCAAGTATGACAATACATACTCCTACGTAAATATGAGTTAGATACAAATTTGTGTACATTTATTTGTAGTTTCACTAGAACACCATAGCTATTTGCAATAAGGAAACATGCATGTTTGCATCGAGGCTTACACCTCAACACAATAAGCAGGTTTGCTAGAATTAGATATAAGATGGATTATGAATTATACATCAAAGAAGGTCTGCATAATCAATTTTCTATCTAAAATTGCTCAGCATTTTAATTCAACTGATATTTGTTGTATTGTAATTTTTACAGGTCATGGTTCTTGTATATTTCCAGGAAGGTATGATTTCTAGAGCCTTTTTTAGTGTGTTCGTTGCCATTCCTTTCCTGAATATATGTGCTTTGTCTTATTAATGTATATTTCCAATTCTTCTCTTTCAGCTCTCAAAGCGGTTAAATAATTTCAAATCTTTATTTTTTCTTTGGTTGCATATTTATGGTGAAACACAGTCATGGTAGAAAGGGAGCCCGAACAAATGGCACATCACTGGCCCCATCTAATTCCACAAGTTCGGGCTGCTTGTCACAATATTACTACAATGGTGGATTTTTCACACGCTCGTTGGTTCTGGTTGTTCTACTATTCTGTGCAGTTGTGTAAAACCTGGCTCATCTTCTGTCCATCTTTGGAGTATAATTAATGGAGGCATTCTCTTCAACTTTCTTCTACAAGATTGCATCGAAACATACCTTATTTAGTGTTCCTTCTAAAAATTATTTGAGTTGTCCACTTGATTAAAATGTATATCGGCAATTGTAACATGAGTAATCCATTGAATTTTGTACAAACGGAGTAATTATTTGACATCATTCCTGTAAACATAGTTTGTTTAGCTTCTAAATCACATTTTGTATTTTTTGAATTGGAATTATGTTGCCTCTGGAATCATTGGATTACTTTGGCATGTTGATCCTGACATCGTAAACAGCTGATGAATCGGACTCTTTCATGATGACTTGGATGAATTAGGGAAACCTTCGTCAACATTCAAACTTCAAGTACATTCCTGAATGCAAATAATATCATCATTCATCAGCCATAAGCTTTATATAAGTTACAGGAACTTTATGGTCTGGTGCATAATAGTTTAAACTTATCCCAAGTTGCACTTCGTTATAGAACATCAGTATACGTATATCCGTGAGAGTTTTCATCACAAACTTTACAGATCAATGAAGAGTCCGAGGAAGTGCACCACCAATTTGTATGTTGCTTACAGTATGGTTTGTTACAGAAACTGCATTTGGGTAGCTGTAACCAACATTCAAGGCAGAATATATCTTCACAAGCTCCCTCTTCCACTTCTCCGGATTCAATGCATCTACCACAGTTTTCACACCTTGGAATACAAAATTTGCAACCCCTACATGGAGCTAGTGGCCAATCCCTCCTCATGCAGTGCTCTCTGGGGCAATCATAAACCATTCTCACCTCAAAGCACCTGGGACATATCTCCAAATCAATAAGCCGTTGCCTTTCTTCATGCTTAAATACCGAAAAGCGACCTCGTTCATGATAGTAGACAGGCTGCTGCTTTTGCTGCTCCTCTAATGGCTGATTGTTTCCCAGGTTCATCATAAGCATGTCAAGATGATCCTTCTGTACGTTGTAAATGCCGTTTATACTTAAGGTCTTCAAGCAATTGCTTCTTTCGCATAGTGTTTTCACGGCTCTTAGAACTCCTTCAGGGGTTATACCTGAGCATGCTGGTATACGCAGCTACACCCCAAATGGAACCAGAACTGAGACAACACTTCAATCCTACCATGTTGGCAAAACCTTATATTGTATTTTATCTAAGCCTAGTTTTTCCTCTTGTATGCAATCATTTTTTAGCTTATTTTGTGAACTAGACATGGTTTTCAAGATGTACACGCCACCCATTTGTCAAGTAGGAATTCAAATTACAATTTAATAGAAAATAGGCTTAGTAATTGGTACCTTGTTTATGAGAGGATTTTGTTCCACGACCCTTTGGAGACCCTCGTCGGTAACGTGCATGCAGTTGATGAGAGTGAGAATTTTGAGCCTACCATTAGCCTTGGAGGTGACTTTCAATAGAATCTCATCATTGAGTCGCCAATTGAGAGGCCTTTCAACAGTAACATTCAACCACGGTAATATGTCATGGTTGACTGCATCCCTCAGTGATGTGCAAACCTGTGACATGAGCACAAGCTCGTACACAGGAAGGTATGTCAAGACCAGAAACATAGCCTGGTGAGGGGGCTTTGCTTCAGGTTGTTCCTCTTCAACTGTTAAACTAACCGCCTTGGAGGACTCTGCCATGGTTGGTTTACTTACGAAAACAACCACACTTCCGTGTATAGAAGTGATTTTAATATTACTGTTGGAGATGGAATGAGTTGGGAAGGGACACAAAATTAAATCATAGTATGATATGTTAGCTATATGTGGTTGAAGCTATGCCAGCCACACATGACAAATGTTCACTTTCCCTTTATCCCACACCTCTACCCCTTCCGTATAGTCGTTTGTTTGCCTTGGACTCAAAAACTCTGTTTTTTAGGAAATATTAATAAAACGATTACTAATTTCCAACTTGTTATTTTCCTTTTACACTCTCAAACATATCATTGAAAATCATTAATTTAATCACAGTCCTTTAAAAATTGTATCTGGGTGCTATTTAATTGCTTAGTAGAGTATTTTACGCAATAAAGTATTACAAATAATATTTTAAAGTAAATAAATTTATAGTTTGAATGAACCTTGGTAAATACTATGCCATGCTAGAAGACTAAGTGGACTTAATATGCTACTTTATTTTTCTAAATTGTTCCTATTTTTATGATTCTTGTTTGGAAAATCATACATTTAATTCTTTAAACGTGCCCAAAACCCCAAGTCAATTAGCCTTAAAAGAAAACTAAAAATACATAAAAATGTTTTATTGTCATATTGGTATCCACTCTTTGCAAAATCCATGTTTCTCCATTTTCTGCATTATTCATTATTTATTCTTTCTAAAAAACAATTCTCATTGTCTTTATCTTTCCGTGATTTTCTTTATTTTATTTTAATTATAATTTATAGTAAAAAATTATTATTAAAATAAAAATTATTACATATACAAATCTTAATTCCAGTTTTATCTCATCGTCATCCATACTACGTGTATTTATTTAAATACATCACAATTCTTAACATTTTTTTTAAAATTATCCTTACCTAATTATTTACATTATATTTTAACTTAAAATGATTAATTAAAAAAGGGTCCCTTATTTTTTTATTTCCTTCATTTAATGTTAAAATAAATTATAATTAATATTAAGGTTTTTTAATATTAAATTCGTATAGCTACTAATTTATCGAAAAAAGCTATAAAACTGATGCAAAGGGCCCTCTGAAGCCCAATTGAATGGGCCTTGCAGAAAACCCTGTTGGCCCGCTTCGTTACACTGTCTCTATAATAGCCCCGAGACTGATAATGCAGCAGCTGGTTCCGCCGAACTTTGAAGAGAAGAGGAGAAGAAGAAAATACATATCATGCGTAAACATTACAAACAGAGTTGAAGACACCCGTATTCCCCAAACAGAAAAAAACCCTTGAGTTGAGTTGGAAGTTAAGGAATGGGGTTGACGAATTTTGTGCTGACCGTGGCAGGTGTAAGCGCCGTCGTTCTTCTTCTCAGGAGTGACGTCAAGCAATCTGCCTCCATCTTCCGCCGCAACATGAAGCAGATTCGCAACTGGCTTGAAGAAGAAACCGCCGCTTCTTCCAAGTGAGTCCCTTTACTCTTCTTCTTCTTCTTAGTTTCAATTCAAGTTTGAGTTTTTCGGGCACTTGTACAAGTGAGAATGAATGGGAAGGTGGGTTTTGGAGGAGTAAAATTTTAATTGATATTGGACGTCATAAATCATCTAGTGAAATATTTAAGGGGTTTGGGTTTGGATAATGTAAGCATATGGGTTAGTATGGTAAGCCTTCGGGTGAGGTTAGTGTGTTAACAAGGAGAGTGATCATGGAACTGATGGCAACTGGGAATATCCATTTGTGCTTTGCAATGGTGATGATGATTTTAGATGATGAACCAATCTGGGATGTTGTCTAGTAAAAAGGGACAGTTACTCCCAACGTTGGTGAGATTAGGTTCGAATCCCCGATGTCTGATTGATTATTGAACATGATTGTCTCCAAAAGAGAATACACGTGAAAAAAAAAAATCTTTGATTGTGATTCTTTGGATATGTTTGCACAAACTTCGTCATAATCACTTTTAGGAGAGGAAAGAATGAAATAAATTTTCCCATAAGCTAAAATTAGCTTACACGTAAGATCATAGACCCAATTGTTCATAAACCTTTGAAATTAAAAACTGTGAACCCTATTAGAGTACTAGCTAAGTATACCTCACTTGTGCTGCATACTTTGCAAAGTGATGCACTGCATATCCATATTTGTATTCTTATCAGAGAGCACTGTTAACCTGTTAACGCTGAGCAAAACACTTGTATTTTTGCACTGAATTTCTTTTTACTTGCATGCGATTAGAGCTTGTAACTAGTGATCGTAGTGCACACTATGTAGCACTAGAAAGTTTGTATTGTTGGATAGATTTATGTAGCTGGTGTTGGGCTTTAGATAATTTGTTCTTCATCATTTTCTGAGCTTCCCTCTCTCTCTCTCTCTCTGAATTGAGAGGTTGGTGTGAAGACACAAGTGAGATTTTGTTTCACTTTGATTGTATAAGTTAGTCATGTAAGGGATACTGGATGTTATAGTCTTGTGATTGATATGCTGCCAAAAAGTTGCTTTGGGTGATATGTACATATTTTTATGTTGGAATGAGTCACTGACTGTAGGAATGCATTTAACCTCTCAGCCCTAATTTAGTTGTTACTAATTTCAAGAAAGTAAGATGTGAGACTCAGAGTACTTATATTATTTTATCGATAAATCATGATGAAATATAAGAAAGGAGAATGGTGAAAGTAATGAAAGATCCTCTGTTTCTCTTCGATTGTTACTTGGCCAAGTTGGCGATGGTATTCTAACTTTTCAGTATGTTTTCCCCTTTTATTCGTTGTAATTTGCGAAGGGGGTATCATTAGCTTAAATTAGGTGCTCTTATGATTAATCTTTAACTGATGGAGATTTATCAATCGTTAGAATCCATTATGCAATGGGTATTGATAGAGAGAGAGAATTTAATAGAAAATGGAACTCTGGAATTATTATTCAAATGGGATAACACCCGGGTACAACATTTATATTTTCTTTCATTCAGTTTCAATCATTTATGACTAATGTGACACAGCCTTCCTAACAAACAATCTGAACAGTCTAACAACAGATATATTTAGGCCCTGTGAAGGCACAGACTAACAAGGTGCAGGCTTACTGGGCTACATCCACTGATGACTCTATATATATCCAACAATAATGAATTTCTAATTTTTGTGGAATAATCCTCTAAATCATGCAACCTTCCCTCCTTTATTGGAAGGAAAACAAAACAACTACAATTGGTTGGATCCATCCAATTTTTCAAATAAAAGAGTTCATGAGAAATGATGCTAACTTGCTAAATCCTTTGCTCAGATTTATTGAGCTGATCAGTTAGTGATATTAGTAGTAGCAAGCACTGTTGTCTGTATCATCTTTTGGTTCATTGAGTTGATCTTAAAAAGAAAATGCAAGCTTTGAATGTTTTCAGATAATAATTTGATGACTTTGGTTGGATTCCTTGTTCTCTTTTGTGAGAATATTTCTGCAATGTTACATTTTGAATGTTTTACATTTTTGTACCAAGTTATTTATGTATTTAGATATTCATTCCTCCTTTCCATCATGTTCCAATGAGGGATATCAAGCTTTGGGATTACCTTTGGGGCGACTGTTTATAATCAACTTGTTACACCAAGAAAAAAGGTGTTTTTTGTTAATCTGTATTATTTTTTTATTATTTTGGGTGAAGTGGTGTGGGGGGCGTTTAATACTTTCATTGACTAAATGGTTGGATATTTAATGGTAATGAATGGTGCTGGAAGTAGGAGTGCATGAGGATCAGGCTGGAACTGCACTGTCTTTTTAGTTTGATGCCACTGTATGAATTCTTAGCCTTAAATTGGACTCTTGAGGTGTTTTGAGCTATGAATTGGCTATATCATGATAGCTTGGTCCATTAATGGATCATTTGATTGTGATATATTACATGTCCTTTTCTTCCACTTCTTTCACCCTAATATCAATGTTGATGCAGGTGATGAGTCATTGATCCCAGAAGCATTATTTGCTTGAATGAGTCATTGATTCGTGGTAAGATGATAAAAATATGTGGATGTTGAGACTGCCATGTCTGACCATTTTTAATATGTTAAGATAAATTTCATGTGTAATGGAATGAGAAAAAGGGTTGAGTCAATGCATTGGAAGGATTGCACAGTGACATGATTATTTATGCGCATTTTGATCAAGTACTTGTATTATATTTGGGATAATGGTCACCATGGGCAAAGCTATCCTTGACCAACATAACTGGGAGTTGCCTCCGACTAGTAAATCCTTCATGAAGTGGGTATAATCAATGCACTGATCAATTGATTAGATGAAATGGGCCAGTGGGCCCATAGGACATGATATCTATTGGCTTCTGAAACTGTAGAAATATGCCTTTATTATATAAAAATAAAAATGGAATTCTAAACTGACTGAGATGTTTGTGCTGATTGAAATTTATTCCCACTAGGATTATTGAAAGTAATAATGTTGTTGTACAAGTGAGAGTGTCACAATGCTTATATTGTAACATAATGTTGTACCATATTTTCAGGTCAATGGAGAAGTCCACTCCCAAGGAACTTGAATCAAAGGTTCCTCCGAAAGACATGCATAAGGAGGACAAGCATTAATGATTATGCAGGTGATGCCGTCGTCAGTGCAGTCATTTTGTGCTTTTGTGTTTCTCTTTCGGTCTTTGATTGGATACATGTTTTTGTGTCTTTACTAAAATGAATTCTTCATCACTGTTTGTTCATATTAATCTTGAATGAACCTTGTATCCGTATATATATTTAGCAATAATGATATATGACAATTTTGGTTATTCTTCATTCCACTTTTTTTCCATTTGACTGCTGAAAAACCATCTAGCTGTAACTTCTTGGGATTTAAAATGTTGACATTGGAAGTGATTTGTATTTTAACTGAAACCTTATATCGTTTTAGGGAAAATTCTATTTGAGGCATATATCTATATAAACCCTTATTTTATTCCTTTATTTTTCATTTGCTATGATTTAGAAGCGCTTATAGTGATATGGTTCAACCCCCGGACCTGCTCAAACCAACCACCAACAAATGTTGAACTGGTTTGGTCTGATCTGAAATCACTGGACCATTGAGCTTGGTCAGTTTTCAGGATGCCTCAATCCAATTGAACACTTCCAACTTCTTATCCTGTTCAGGTTTGGGGATTAAAAGGGACATATTTAACGAGGGGTTGGGATGCGTTTAAACTTTAAACCTCTAACTAGACGTGATTGGGTTATGCTTTCATTTGATTTTGTATTAAAAAATTATTCAAATCACATAAAATTTATGCGATATGATTTGGTTCAGATTGAATTAAATTAATATTTTATAGTTTAGTTTGAATGATTTTTATGATTTTTTTAGCATAAAATTATTAAATATAATATAATAAAATAAGATTTTCAAAGTTTTAAATTTTTTTATATATTTTTAATTTAATTTTAAAAATAATAATATATGTTTTAAATTATAAAAAATTAATTGGTTTATTTACAGTAAGTATTATTTTATATTTAAATTTTAGCAGTATATATTAAAATTTTGGTTTAGATTGGTTTTTCATTTCAAACAGAAAATCAAATCAAATCTATCAATTTAAAAAATTAAAAAATATTCGGTTTTGATCAATTTTTATACTAATTGTAAGATATCTAGAAATACTTTTAGGAAATAAATATAAGAAAAAATAAAATTATTTTTCTATAAATTAAAATTAGTTCATACACTAATTAAAAATATGAATTTAGAGAAGTTAGATGAGATAATTTCTAAAATTGATTTTATGAAGAATAAAATTTTATTTTATTTTATTTTTATCGAAAAATCTATCCCAACAGACCTGAGTCATGTGGTGTAGGACATAATAAGCTTTTTCTGTAATTTAAATACATAAAATATATATGTAAACACACTCAAGTGAATTATTAATAAAATTAATTATTGAAATTTGATGGTAGTCTTTGAACTTACCCATATAATAAACAAAATATAACTCTTTAAAAAGTAAGTTTAGGTAATAGACAAGATTAGTATCATTTAATTAGATTGATGTCACTTAAATTTAATCAATTTTTTTTAATTGAACAAGTTTATCTCAAAAGTCATCATTCAATCTAGCAAGATTTTAGTAAGATGTCTACTTCATTCTATTTATATTTATATTAAAAAAGATTGTTTTTTTGAAAAAAAAATAATTGAAATTGATGTTCAAGGTCCATTCTGTGATCTAGTACTAGTTTTGGACTTCATAGATTTATTTTTACAAGAGATTATCTTCGAGCAAGATAAATTTCTATGTATAATGCTCTTCTTTTTTCTATTGCACTTATATTCTATATTTATATCACTTGTTGTATTTACTATTCGCATTATTGATATATATATATATATATATATATATATATATATATATATATATATATATATATATATATATATATATATATATATATATATTCTAGTTAAAACACCATCTATTACCAAACGCTACTTTGTACTCTTTCTAATCAACCTTGCATTTAAAAGACACATTTAAATAATTTTATAAGATAAACAATATTTAGCTTTGTTCAAAAATGAGTTAACTTATTATTTTAATCATAAAAATATTTAAAATATAAAAAAAAGTTAATATTTTATAAAAAAAATCAAATAAAAATACATGTTTTTTTTTAACTTTTATCATAAATTTGTCTCATATTCATAAATAAAATACATAATCATGTTATTAAAAATTTCAATAAATTTTACATGATTTAATAAATATAACTATAAAAAACTTAAGACCCTGTATAATTTGTATCATCAGTGCAAAATAATTAGTAGTTACTAAAAGTTATTTTTATTTATATTTATGTATTATGAATAAGTTATGAAATAATAAATTTATGTAAAAATTATGTAATTTTGTTTAACAAACTTAATTAAAAAAATTAAATGATATAATATTTAGATTAAATTGTTCATATTTTATAAAAAATATCAAATAAAATACATGTTATTTACTTATTTTTTATAATTTTATCATAATACATAATTTTATTCATATAATTTTTTTTAATATAACTTATGTATAATATTTGGAGTAAATTGCATTTGAGTGGATCATTAAATAATTTTACAATAATAAGAAAATAACGCTAAGTCACTATAAACTAAATTAATATGTTTTAATACATGTAATGCGTGAACATTACAAACAGAGTTGAAGACACCCGTGTTCGCCAAACAGAAAAAAACCCTTGAGTTGGAAGTGAAGGAATGGGGTTGACGAATTTAGTGCTGACCGTGGCAGGTGTAAGCGCCGTCGTTCTTCTTCTCAGGAGTGACGTCAAGCAATCTGCCTCCATCTTCCGCAGCAACATGAAGCAGATTCGCAACTGGCTTGAAGAAGAAACCGCCGCTTTTTCCAAGTGAGTCCCTTTACTCTCTTTCTTCTTCTTAGTTTCAATTAAAGTTTGAGTTTTTCGGGCACTTGTACAAGGGAGAATGAATGAGAAGGTGGGTTTTGGAGGAGTGAAATTTTAATTGATATTGGACATCATAAATCATCGAGTGAAATATTTAAGGGGTTTGGGTTTGGATAATGTAAGCATATGGGTTAGTATGGTAAGCCTTCGGGTGAGGTTAGTGTGTTAACAAGGAGAGTGATCATGGAACTGATGGGAACTGGGAATATCCATTTGTGCTTTGCAATGGTGATGATGATTTTAGATGATGAACCAATCTGGGATGTTGTCTAGTAAAAAGGGACAGTTACTCCCAACGTTGGTGAGATTAGGTTCGAATCCCCGATGTCTGATTGATTATTGAACATGATTGTCTCCAATAGAGAATACACGTGAAAAAAAAAAAAAAAATCTTTGATTGTGATTCTTTGGATATGTTTGCACAAACTTCGTCATAATCACTTTTAGGAGAGGAAAGAATGAAATAAATTTTCCCATAAGCTAAAATTAGCTTACACGTAAGATCATAGACCCAATTGTTCATAAACCTTTGAAATTAAAAACTGTGAACCCTATTAGAGTACTAGCTAAGTATACCTCACTTGTGCTGCATACTTCGCAAAGTGATGCACTTGGAGGCCTGGTGAGGGGGCTTTGCTTCAGGTTGTTCCTCTTCAATTTTTAAACTAACCGCCTTGGAGGACTCTGCCATGTTTGGTTTACTTACGAAAACAAACCTTGACACTTCCGTGTATAGAAGAAGTGATTTTAATATTACTGTTGGAGATGGAATGAGTTGGGAAGGGACACAAAAATAAATCATAGTATGATGATATGTTAGCTATATGTGGTTGAAGCTATGCCAGCCACACATGACAAATGTTCACTTTCCCTTTATCCCACACCTCTACCCCTTCCGTATAGTCGTTTGTTTGCCTTGGACTCAAAAACTCTGTTTTTTAGGAAATATTAATAAAACGATTACTAATTTCCAAGTTGTTATTTTCCTTTTACACTCTCAAACATATCATTGAAAATCATTAATTTAATCACAGTCCTTTAAAAATTGTATCTGGGTGCTATTTAATTGCTTAGTAGAGTATTTTACGCAATAAAGTATTACAAATAATATTTTAAAGTAAATAAATTTATAGTTTGAATGAACCTTGGTAAATACTATGCCATGCTAGAAGACTAAGTGGACTTAATATGCTACTTTATTTTTCTAAATTGTTCCTATTTTTATGATTGTTGTTTGGAAAATCATACATTTAATTCTTTAAACGTGCCAAAAACCCCAAGTCAATTAGCCTTAAAAGAAAACTAAAAATACATAAAAATGTTTTATTGTCATATTGGTATCCACTCTTTGCAAAATCCATGTTTCTCCATTTTCTGCAGTATTCATTATTTATTCTTTCTTATCTTTCACCAACAGTCTCTTGGATAAAAAACAATTCCTATTTATTCATCGTCAGCCATGTTTGTTTCCTAATAGTAATATTCTAATTCAGTTTATGGAAATGCCCTATGATAGTAATATTGTAATTATAATACTAGTGAAAAAAAACCTTGGCTGATGATTTTTTAAGGTTATCCTGAATGAACTTAATGCTGCTCTTCTGGTTTGTCATTGTCTCCCAATTTGTTTGCATATTGCTACCTTTTCTCATTTGATGCAATGCTAATTCCTTTCTCTCAAACTCTGTTCTATTGTCTTTGTGCTTTGCCCAATTTCCTTATTTCAAGATTGCACACAGTTCTTCTTGGGAACCTAGTTATACAACAACAACTCCCAGGATTTTATATGTGCAGATAGAAAGTGAGGAACCTTTCTGCTTGAGCCTTCTCCTTTGTCCATGGAGATATGCTCCAATGTAATTGGCTTACAGTTTCATTAATGTTCTAAAAAATTGTTGTCTGTTGTGGGGTTCCTGTTTTTAAGCATATTAATAGTTCTCAGGTTGTCTCCGAATTCATTGCTATTTTATTTTTACCATATCCCATTTCTTGACACGATGCTAATTCCTTCCTTTCAAACTCCATTATATTGTCGATGTGTTTTATCTGTCCTATTGCTTCTGTCATGGATGGCTTAAATACTCTCTTGTAAAAATCGCACGCAGTTCTTCTTGGGAACCTATTTAACAAAATCAATTCCCAGGATTTTATCTGTGCGGATATTAAGTGAAAAACCTTTCTGCTTGAGCAGCCTTCTTTATCCATGGAGATATGCTCCAATGTAATTGGCTTACAGCTTCATCAGTTTTCTTAACAATTGAATGTGTGTTGTGAATTTGATGTTTTTGCGATATTGATATATGGTATTGAAGGTGTAGCCCATGGTACCTTTTCACGTTGCTTGTCTTAATATATTTTGTATATTACTTTTTGATTGTTGATGATAATGTATGATTCTTCGAATAGTATTTTTCCCCAATTCTATAAGTTGTATATTGGGATTTTATCCATTTCCGCTATTAACTTTCGTTTTTAAGTAGTAAAATTACAATAGTGTTTCGGGGCTAGATGAAGTTCCATAATTGGTAATTGAAACTTAATTAAAATGGACGATTTTTTCAGCTTCTGCTTAGGCATATCCCTAATGGTAGTATCATGATTCTTCTATTTTATCTTTACATGATCTAATTTAACATGAAATTGCACGTTGTTTTTGCAGATTCTCAGTGCTCGTTGGTTGGGGGACTTGTTTGTCCGCGTACTCAAAAGGAATTTGCATTGTGCGAGTTAAATTTTTATGTTTTTTTTTGTTGCTTATGAGCAGAATATTCTTGTTTAGGATGGCAAATGAACCGCATATTTTTTTTTTCTACATGAAGGAGGGTTTTGATTCTCAATTTTATAAATGGATTATTTTTACTCAACTGTTTCACATTATGGTCAGTTTCGCGTTCCCTTAAATTTGGAATTGAAAATTCCAACTACCGATGTCCTCTAACTTTATTTTCAAATTTTAAGGGAATCCCGAAATTAGTTGGATAAATTATTATTGGAAGAATAATTACGAATTTCAGGTGATTAAATTAAGAATTTGCAATCTCAAGTCAATCGTATATGGATATTAAATTAAAATTGCTAATAAAAATTTGTGATTTGTGTTTAATAGTAAAAGTTGTACAGTGAACTGTGATCATTCTCAATTTGTCATCTGTCCAGGGGGAGTATTGTGAGCAAATATTTAGTCATACTCCAGAACTTGAAGCACGAATATCATCTCAAGTTTTTGGAAAACTTGCTGAAAAAGATTTAGTTGTTGGATTTACAAACTGGGACACTCTTGTTTATTTTACATCTGTGCTTGACATTGTGAGTGTCTTTCATTGGTGTCTTAACTGTGTTTCTATGACAAAATTGAAGGTATGACCGATTGCTACTGCGGAAACGCAAAAGTCAGCGTTAAAAATAATATCAATTTCTATATATATAATACCTGAAAATCGGTGATGAGCCAAAACAGGCTAGATCGTGTTCCTCATCTTTTTTGCTAAAATAGGGGGCGATCATAATAATTATAAATCTTAGTCTTTAATTTATCGACTTTTTTTCATAAATAATACTAATTTTAAAAATATTTTTTAAAATAGAACATTAGGAATATTATTTACCAATTAATACTTTTTTTACTGTTCATTGTACTTTCGTTTAAGTGAGAAATCAATTATTTAAGCTAAGAGACCTGGAACTAATGGGTATTGTGGAGTTTAATTTCGCTCAAGCGATTGCTCGTATAAGAACCGAGATAGATATTACGTGAAAATCAAAATAGAAATGTTCATATTATCATACTCCTGCTCTTAGTAGAAGAACATGCCCCAATATTATTTTAAAATTATAATTGTTTAGTTTAACTTATAATCAAAATTATAAATAGATGAAGGTTTCCTCGCTCAAGCGATGGATTTCTCGCTTGAGCGAGAATTGACCACAGACTAAAAATCAAACGCAGTTAGCCACATAATGCAACTTAGGTCTTCACATATTTCAATCACTTCTAGCTCGAGTGAAATTATCCATCGTTTGAGCAAAAAAACACCCGAGATTACCCATTAGTTTCAGGTCTCCTCGCTCAAGCGATGAATTTCTCGCTCGAGCGAGAATTGACCACAGGCTAAAGGTCCAATGTAGTTAGCCAATCACTTCTCGCTCGAGCAAAATTACCATCGCTTGAGCGAAAACACACTCGAGATTACCCATTAGTTTCAGGTCTCCTCACTCAAGCGATGAATTTCTCGCTTGAGCGAGACAAAAGTAATCGATTATAATTTTAAATATTCAATTATTTTAAAATTATGATCGATTAGTTTACATTATAATCGATTATAAATTTCATCGCTCAAGCAATGGATATCTTGCTCGAGCGAGAATTGACCATGTACTAAAGATCTAACGCAGTTAGCCACATAATGCAACTTGGGTCATCACATATTTCAATCACTTCTCGCTCGAACGAAATTACGCATCGTTTGAGAAAAAAACACCTTGAAATTATCCATTAGTTTCAAGTTTCCTCAATTGAGCAAAAGAGAAAAATTGATCATAATTTTAAATAATCAATTATCTTAAAATTAATATTTTAAAATTATGATGAATTAGTTTAAATTATAATAGATTATAAATTTTATCAGACAAACGATATATTTTTTCACTTGAGAATAGACCAAATGTCATATCCGTGAGAGTTTTCATCACAAACTTTACATATCAATGAAGAGTCCGAAGGAGTGCACCACCAATTTGTATGTTGCTTACAGTATGGTTTATTACAGAAACTGCATTTGGGTAGCTGTAACCAACATTCAAGGCAGAATATTTCTTCACAAGCTCCCTCTTCCACTTCTCCGGATTCAATGCATCTACCACAGTTTTCACACCTTGGAATACAAAATTTGCAACCCCTACATGGAGCTAGTGGCCAATCCCTCCTCATGCAGTGCTCTCTGGGGCAATCATAAACCATTCTCACCTCAAAGCACCTGGGACATATCTCCAAATCAATAAGCCGTTGCCTTTCTTCATGCTTAAATACCGAAAATCTACCTCGTCTGCTACTTTTGCTGCTCCTCTAATGGCTGATTGTTTCCCAGGTTCATCATAAGCATGTCAAGATGATCCTTCTGTACGTTGTAAATGCCATTTATACTTAAGGTCTTCAAGCAATTGCTTCTTTTGCATAGTGTTTTTACGGCTCTTAGAACTCCTTCAGGGGTTATTCCTGTGCATGCTGGTATACGCAGCTACACCCCAAATGGAACCAGAACTGAGACAACATTTCAATCCTACTATGTTGGCAAAACCTTATATTGTATTTTATCTAAGCCTAGTTTTTCCTCTTGTATGCAATCATTTTTTAGCTTATTGTGTGAACTAGACATGGTTTTCAAGATGTACACGCCACCCATTTGTCAAGTAGGAATTCAAATTACAATTTAATAGAAAATCCCCATAACCAGTGTGACAAACAAGCAAGGATAGCCACACTTTTTATGACTGTCCTAATTGATAAACGACTAAAACTACCCTCACAGTTTCATTCAGATAAAGCAGGAAACCAAGATTTGCTTAGTTAAAGAAAAGCGATAAATCAGAAGAGGAAAACATAAATCCAAAATATGGGCTTAGTAATTGGTACCTTGTTGATGAGAGGATTTTGTTCCACGACCCTTTAGAGACCCTCGTCGGTAACATGCATGCAGTTGATGAGAGTGAGAATTTTGAGCCTACCATTAGCCTTGGAGGTGACTTTCAATAGAATCTCATCATTGAGTCGCCAATTGAGAGGCCTTTCAACAGTAACATTCAACCACGGTAATATGTCATGGTTGACTGCATCCCTCAGTGATGTGCAAACCTGTGACAGGAGCACAAGCTCGTACACAGGAAGGTATGTCAAGACCAGAAACATAGCCTGGTGAGGGGGCTTTGCTTCAGGTTGTTCCTCTTCAATTGTTAAACTAACCGCCTTGGAGGACTCTGCCATGTTTGGTTTACTTACGAAAACAAACCTTGACACTTCCGTGTATAGAAGAAGTGACTTTTATATTACTGTTGGAGATGGAATGAGTTGGCAAGGGACACAAAATTAAATCATAGTATGATGATATGTTAGCTATATGTGGTTGAAGTTATGCCAGCCACACATGACAAATGTTCACTTTCCCTTTGTCCCACACCTCCACCCCTTCGGTACAGTCGTTTGTTTGCCTTGGACTCAAAAACTCTGTTTTTTTAGTAAATATTAATAAAACGATTACTAATTTCCAAGTTGTTATTTTCCTTTTACACTCTCAAACATATCGTTGAAAATCGTTAATTTAATCACAATCCTTTAAAAATTGTATCTGGGTGCTATTTAATTGCTTAGTAGAGTATTTTACGCAATAAAGTATTACAAATAATATTTTAAAGTAAATAAATTTATAGTTTGAATGAACCTTGGTAAATACTATGCCAAGCTAGAAGACTAAGTGGACTTAATATGCTACTTTATTTTTCTAAATTGTTCCTATTTTTATGATTCTTCTTTGGAAAATCATATATTTAATTCTTTAAACGTGCCAAAAGCCCTCCCAACATTCATTATTTGAAACTTTTGATTTAAATTTAAAACAATAAATTAATTTTATAATAAAATGAAAGAAATCGAATGTGCTTTTTAACTTTGAGGTGTTTGTCAACTAACTTATTTTTCTCACACGTTTATGACTTTATTTTTTATATTTTCATCGACTTGGATTTGATTTCAATTAGGTTTTCTATTCAATGTGGTTTAGAGTGTTGTTGATCAAAATGGAAGTCCATCAAGGATATTTATTTTTAACATTTCATAGTTAATTTTTTTATTAATGTAGATTAATATTATCTATCAGTCAACAATAATTTAAAGTTTTCTTAATCAACCTAATGTATTGATTTTTAACATAGGTTAGAGTTAACTATCAATTAATTAGAATTTTTTGGGTCAATGTTTATAGAATTATTTATTATGAATATTAATATATTTTTTTTAATTCATATAACTTAAGATTTTTCAATTAATATTCATAAATATGATTTTTAGTTGACATTTTTTAAAATTATTTTTGTGTTGGTTTACACCTATAAAATGATGACTGACTTAGATTGAGAAATAATTTAAAATAATGACTGACAAAAAATAATCTTTAATTAATGTAGCCTAATATTTCTTATTTTTCTCCTGAGGGATTTATTACATCTATAATGGTCTAGGGTAAAAAACATGTAGAATGGTGTGAGAAAAATCCTGATGCTCGGAAATTTATTAGGTTGAAACAGGTTTCAGATAGATAATAGATTTATGCAGTATACCAATATAGTTAATCGTCAATGTGAGAGTGAAAATTCTGTAAAATTATCTATTTCTGAACTGAAGAAAGAGTATCGTTTTGCTTTTCACAACAAATTACACAATCAAATGCTCTGCCATTCCAAACTGAAGTGTGTGAAATACATCACAGAATACAAATGTCTTTAAATTTTACAATTTGTAATTTCACACATCAGTAGGTTATTTCAAGTTCCCAAGGAGATTTGCATGTGGAAGCTATGAATGGTCTAATGGTTCAACAGCAGTCTTGAAGAGAAGGACATAAACCTTGTCAATGGAAAAATACAGGAAGCCACCAAGAGAATGAGTAACATAGGAGCCAAAGCTAGTGCCCACAATGCAGTGCCAAGCTGGACCATATGAAGAATCAAACTCCTGCAAAAACAAGTCATTCAAGTAGGGGCCACAAATTTCAGAAACAGGTAAACGAATGAACACCAAAATCACATTCCATTTAGAAATGATCAGTTAGAATTAAATTCTGCTTAACCATTGTTACTTATTATTAGGATTATGACATGAATCCTGTTTAACCATAATACACTTTCTACAATATTATTTTCTGACAATTTCTCTATTTTAGTTAGAATTGATTGGAAATGACAGTATTGTGATGAAAGAGACTCATAAATTTCAATTAATAATAAGGAAAATTCTAAATATCATGAAAAAAAGGTATGCTACTAGATTGTTTGTCAGATTATGAAATTCTAGAATATCATTTACTATCCTTGATCCTTCTCTCCAATCAAAATGAGGGACCATCTATGTAGAAAGTCACCTAAATTCATTAATAATAAACCAACACATCAGTATAGCCATACTTATATCCCTCTTTTCATACTCAAAGTTGCACGCATAAATCCATATGCAATCTAGAATATGTAATTGACTTTCTTCACAGTTCACTGCAAAAAGATATTTTAATCTTAATTGGACCACAGAGTTAACATACACTTCAGGATACTCATCTCACTTTATTGAAACTTTTAAGTCTTCTCCAATATCATTTCTTGTGATCTGTATACTACAGAGCCCGAGTAGCACGCAAAATCAAACCTTTCTTCATCAAACCAATTGCCACAGCCCACGAGAAAGATAAAATAACAGATCAATCTCAAATAAGCTTAGTTCCATTTTGATAGTTAAAATGCCAATACCCCAAAAATCCAACTCATAAAACTTGTGATAGTTAAACCATTCGTTATGCCAGCTACATTTTTTTTAATTCAACAAAAAGACTTGGTGATCAAGAAGATAAAGAAACCAACATAAAATATTAAATTGAGGAAGAAGAAAAACCATAGGAGAGATAAGATAACCGTTTGTTACATCAGACCACTTTTCATAATTTCAAAAGCTACCCAACATGTATTTGGCTAAAGATCAGAACCCAGAAACAGATCTTGTAAAGAAATCAAGAAAGTTAGACAAAACAAAAAAGAGGTAACCTTCTTAAGTGTGAGGGCTAGGCGTTTACTATCAAGCTTCTTTGGTGGCATAGAATCCAGAAGATCACGTGCACAACGAAAGGCACGGTTCTGAAGAGGGAGAGGCATGTCACAAGCTCTGACGCGAACGTTATTGTGTTGTAGGTGATCATGCTGCTCTTGTTGCTCTTCGGATTTCTTCTTCTGTATCAAGCTTTTAAGGAACTTGCTTCTTCTTTCTAGCTCCTCTTCTGCACCCTCCATCTTCTTCCCAACTCACCCTCTCATCACTCTCTTTCTCTCTCTCACACACACATCAAACCCTTTTCTTCTCTTGCACTCTTTCTCTCTCAGATAAAGCAGCGCCAAATACCCTTTTCACTCTATTGTCTCCTGGAGGGGCCCCAAAGAGAGTAAAAGGAACAAAGAGAAAGTAGAAGGGAATAAGTATGGGAAGATTAAGACAGAAACAAAAATTTAGATGCTGTGTTTAGTATTGTGTAGTCTGAGCGTCTTTGTTGGGTTTGGTATTGGTTTTTGAGTTGCGGTGTTTCTTTTAATGCATGCATTTGCTGTTGTTGGCTTTGTTGCGTGTACACGAGGTCGTTACTTTGCAAATTCCAAGTTTATTAATACTTGGATATGCTGAAAACATTGAATCCTAAACCACATCATAAGTTTATCGATTTTATTATTAGTTTTCTGTGTAATTTATTTTACACAAATATTGCATTGCCGTTGAACACATCAGAATATATCATATGAAAAAGGTGTTATATTATATTTAACAGGAATACTTTGCATGTATTTAGCCCAGAAAGCTGTGTGGCTGTGGTTTTCTTTTTACATCTTATTTGAAGTTATCTTAATTTGTCCTACTTATAATATATACATTTGCTTTACTTTGTTGCTGCAATTTTTGAAGTAAAAGACGTTATTGAATCAGGGATGATACTGGTTGCCGCTACTTTATACAGTCATGCAAGATCAATCATTTCCACTTTTGCTTTTTTCTCTTTCTTTTTTCTTTTACTAACAAAACAATAAATATTTTCACTTTTCCTTTGCTTAGCATTGACAAGACCTGCTAAGAGGGAACATGTCCACCACTCTTGTCGTGGATTTGGTCAAAGTAGAAGTTTCCAGTGGCTACCAACAGTATCTACTGTATATTTTTTTCTACTTAAAAAAAGTAATAGAAAGAAAACTTCGTTTCTCGCAACTACTGTGTGATTCTGCAAGCTCGAGGTATTGTGAAATGGTGTGATTCTGCTAGGCTACATCTATTAGAGTATGTTAATGAATTACATGATAGACGTATTTTATGTTAAATATTTGCTAACATATATTTATTTATTTTATTCGACATCGTTTATATTTTATACTCACTTTTACGTGACAAGCTCACATTGTAAATGCAGAAAAAACAAGATAGGCACAACCCAACTATAAATACTCAAATGATAAACTTAGTACAATTGTGAAATGATTACATAAATGTGTCTGTCAGCATACAGAGTCGAAGAATAAAGATACAAAAAAAAAATGATCATATTCGAGGGCCCAAAAATTAAGTCTAGACAATTGATCAAGACACGAAATTTAAAGAAAATTATGGTAAAAACAACAGCATAAGATTTCCTCACACCACCTTAAAATTGCAAAAAGACTCAACCCACAATCTTGAAATTAACTCGCAATGAATTTCTCAGAGACACGCTTTCACAATGAATGGATCACTCTGATCTCTAACAAGTTTTTGCTAAATGAAATCCTTAATATCGATCAAAGATACAAATAACAAGGCTAAGTTTTAATTTCTGATTAAGCAAAATAGCTTTAGCAATAAGATATACTCAAGGAGGTTTTCAAGGAATAAAGTGTATTCACGCCTAATTTGCAGAATGCTCAATTTTATTTTATTTTTGTTTATGCCTTTGACTACAAGTAGCTACTTTGTTTAATTAGTTGACGCCATAGTTATGTTATGGCGTCATAAAGATTATTATGGCAAAATGCAAGAGGAATCCAATCTTATGTTTGTGAGACTAAATAAACAGGAAATATTTATTTTCCTTCTATACTACTAATCACAATAATAATGAGGACAGATTTTTTTCAATTGAATTCTGGATTAAAAATTGGTTTCTATGATCTTCTGCATAAAGGCATCCATGGACTCTCGAAGTGTACCACACCATCTCCCAGAATATACTAACTCTGCATATTTAAGGGCTAAGGAATCTTTAACTACAGCTCGCGTGCTGCAGCAAACAGGATGGTGTTAACAGATGGTTCGACCCGGATTCTTCATACCTACAAGCCGATTATGAACCATGTGGATCCGGCCAATTCCATGCCTTCCACCAATCTCATTGAGCTCAGCAAGTAAAGATGCCTGTGAAAGCCTCTTCCCATTTAGAGGTCACATATAAAGTGAAATCACAAGAAACAAGCGTACTCTACTTGATCAGGAGCATCCTCAGGGTCAACAGACATAATGTACATGTCCTTTTTAGGCTCATTAACTGGGTCTTCCAAAATATCTCCCTTCAGTGTCACGGATTGCAAGTATCAGAAAACAGCAGCTTGTCATTTCCAAAATAGTTTTTTGAGCTACTGTTGACAAAGCATAACCGTAGATCAAGAGAACATCTAGCAAGTTCTTGCAGTACAGCACAGAAAGTATGTTTTGCATTCAATTTATGATCACATGATCTACAGACTTGCACAATTATTGGGTTCCTTGACACTTTAAATGATGGCAAAGGGATTCATATGATGGGATTTTAAATTACTGAGAGACTAAGTGATTGTTAAGATCTTGTGAGTACTAAAGTGATGGTTCTTGTAATCTGAAAGGCAAAATGACGGTCTATTCAAGAAAAAATAACTTGCAAAATGCATTTCATAAATATTCAATGAGTGTAATATGCAGTTATGGAATGAATATGCTTGTCGGAGCACTTACAGCAAGCTGAGTTTCGTGGTGAGGCATGGACTATTGGATAGTCTGAAAGAAATAGGAATAGAGTCTTGATTTCAGATGCCAACATGACACACCTCAGTTATCAATATATAGGTAGTGTTTTGTAGACATGTTAGGTATTGTTTGGTAAACATGTTAAAACAGGGTGGAACATACCAAATGGATTCTATTCTATGTTCGGTGCATTTCCAAAATAGAACATAATAGAGCATGAGGTTAAAAAATGCTGCATTTTGACTCCACTGAAAAGGTTAGTACAAAATCAGAAAAAGACATTTCATTTCATTCCATTCCATTTTAGACACACAACAAACACTAATCACAGTAAACCACTTTACTCCAAAGTTGGACTCTCATGTTACATGACTATCATGGTAGGAAAGATCTTGTCCCACTATTGTCCCTCCTAATGTTCATGTAGTGTAACACAAGAAAACCCAAAGCCGTTACTTTGGAAGATCATCAAACTTTTGGGCCTAAATTCAGTGACTGCTTAGCCCGAAAGAAAATGACAAATTATTAAACATAGCTAACTTCAAGACAATAACCAGAGCTATATTTAATAAAACTGCAAAATATACCTCATGGCTTAGGCGACAAAGATTCCTATTCCTGCTTATTATGTATGGATTTATTTGTCACAGGAACTGGTATATTATGCTTAGCGTACTCATTAGCATCTTTTCTTCCAGTAATAACTCACTCTCTCTTACAAAGAAATATTATTTTTAACTTAATAAATGTGCGAACCAAAGATCAAGTAAACAAAAGATCAGCGTCCAGCACTTTAGTTTAATCGTTAATATTAATGTATATGGTTCATACACACCAATGACCATGTCAAATCCACGGTTTGAAGTTCACGATGTTTTTGGCACAAGGAACAGGGTTCTTGTCGTCTCATCTTGGTGCGGCAGAGGCATGAGTATATCCAACCACAACCTAGCACTCAACAAATCAGTGTACACCACTTGCCGCAAATCAAACATCAAATCATTAATTACTCTCTTTAACGAATCATTTCATACACCAAACCCGCAATGTAGATTAGCACAATCCCTTTAATAATATTCACAGAACTAGTTTCTTAATACTTACACGTTGATCGCTTGTCAACAATCTCTGAAACTCGGCCAAATGTGACACATGGACACCAGAAAGTTATGCAACCTGAAACGAAACATAGAGATGTGACTATATATGACTCTCTCTACATTTAAACACTCATATGTAGGGCCTGCGCATGATCATGAACTTGATGATGATGTGATGTTGGTAAAGACAAAGACATAATCTGTTATATTAGAAAAGAAGCACGGAACTTGGAATCGAAGAGGTATGAATAGAAAGGTAAGCTCCAACAGAGGCGAAGAATTTGAGGATCATTGTTTAATAGTTTTTGGTGCATCTTTAGTTTTTTCAACGGTAATTAGAGGAAGTATTTTTTTACAACCGTTTTAATGATATGAATTTTTTTTTTAAATTCATTTAAGTGAAACATCCGTTGCATATATCACGGACAAAAATAAATGTATCATTAAATATGTTTATCCTTTTCACCAATTTAGTCATTAAATACATAATTTAAGTGGTATCATAGAAACAAAAACGATAAAAGTTAGTACTTCTTTTATCATCACTTATAACTTTTTTACATTTAAAAACCTATTTCATGGAGACAACACTATTTTTTTACTTACACCACAGTATTCTGATTTCTTGTTTTTATTTAACATAATTATACTTATATTTTCCATTCACTGTTATGAATGTTCATGTATATTTTCCATTTAATATCTACTTTCGGACAGTGCAGCCACCACTTTATGGATTGGTCTAGTTTTAAATCACCCATTCAAACTAGTATTATAATATGATCTTAATACAAATATAAAATTAAAAGTTTGAGACCTTCATCACAGATGAAGGTATTCGCACAACTCGGAAAAACATGTAACATTAACGCCAACAACAACTGATCATAATAACGACAAAAAAAATAATACATTGTTCAATCATAACTGATGGGTAAGATCTGTCGCAAGTACGTGGGCAGGCATGTGGAATCATATCCATTAGATAACTGCATGCATTGTGCGTATGGATCCTCAACGAGTCATAGGTTCAACTGCTGGAGCAGTTGCAACCATGGGTACACCCTGGCTCCCTTCCTCAACATTTCCTTGCCACCCTGATTATCATTTTCAAATGAAAAACATTCATTCACGAGAAATAATTAAGGAACTCACCTGCATATATTTTTTAAACTAATTTAATCTATGTCGTAAATAAATGGATGTGGTTCGTACCAATGACCATGTCAAATCCACGGATTTCAAGTTCGCGATATTCTTGGCACAAGGCACAGGGTTCACAGCAGCAATGAACCAAGAAATCCGGACATGGACTCTCCTTCAGCATGTATTGTCGTCTCATCTTGAAGCGGTAGAAGGATGAGTATATACAACCACAACCAACTAAACAAAAAATCATCGTATACAGTGCTCCACTAGCACCACATGCTGCAAATCAAATATCAAACCATCCATTATAGTTAGTGTCTGTCAATGGATTAATTAGTACTTCCCTCTGATAATCATCATCCAATATATGTTATTGAATAGTCTTTCGCAAAAATAAACAGTTTCTTACACGTTGATCCCTTGTCAACAACCTCTGCAATTTGACCAAACGTGACGCATGGGCACCAGCACGTTATGCAACCTAACAAAGTAAAGATGAGGCTACACATGTGACTCTATAAGCAATTGTCAACTTCAAAGAAATTATTAGACGGTAAGATTATAAATGGTATACATTCATAAATGCTACACATGGGACTCTACAAAGTTGGTCGAAACCAACTTTTATATACATCTGTAATTTAAAAGAAAAATAATAATGACACTAACAGTGTGTAGAAATTATGACGGTGTAACACTACTTACATATAATTTGCTGTGATAAAAGGAACTTACAGTTTTTGAAGTTGGAGAAGCACTCAAAGAGGCCCGTGGACCAATCAGCCTTGGCTAGGAGATTAGGGTTGTAGCTGTTGTAAGCCACCGGAAAACAAGTGGCAAAGGGTTGATTGTAGGGTGGTTGTGCACCTTGTGAGGTTGGTAGAGACATAACTGTTAGAAAAAGAAGTACAGGACATAGAAGGGGAAGGAATATATGATGGTGGTGGAGCTGGTGTGACCCAAGATTTTATAGTAGAATTGAGGAAGAATGTAGAGTATGTTTTTGGTGTCTCACCAATCCTTTTCACCCATAGATGTAACCTAAACGAGGCCTTGTCTTCTGACAAAATATTCCGGTCAGAAAAATTCCGTGTTACTCAACTATGTATAAAATATTATAACATTAAAATTGAAAGGAAAAATCAAGATAAGATGGTTGATGTATCCATAAAAAATAACAAAAACTAAAGCACTGTATAAAAAAATTTACATTAATAATATTACATGATTCTTAAACTCATTCAATAATAAACCCAAAACATAGACAAATAAAATCTAAAGAATAAAAATTATGGAAAACTTTCTTCAAAATGTTTGAATAGTCAAGATAAAACTGTTGCAAGTACTTTCAGTTTTTAATTTTTCATCGGAAATAATTTTGAATAAAAAAATAGGACTGTACAAGGATTTGATCAAATTTATCATCTAACTCAATAAAAAATTCAATAAAAAAAATTATTAGGTTGGGTTGAGTTGGATAGTATTTTTATATTTTTTTTATTCAACCCAATCCATTATTTATGTTAGATTGAGTTGGTTAATTGAATTATAAATTTTTAAAAATATTTTTCTATTTTTTAATTTAAAAAATATTTCCTTAGAATATTTTTTATCGAATAATTTAATATTTCAAAATATATATTTAGTTAATAATATATATATATATATATTAAAATTTTTAATGATTTTGATTTAATGGATTGAATTGAATTTGAAATTAAATATATAAAATTCATTATCGAATAATTACAAAATTGAAAAAATTATCTAATATATGGCTATTGGGGTTGGGTCAAAATGAGAGAAGTTAGATTACTCAACACAAATAAATACCCTACCAAAAATGTTTAGAAACACTACAAAAAAAATGTTTATTATCTACGGGTAAACTTCGTAGGTAATGACAAAAATCGATGAGGTAATGTCACTTTACCTACGGATTTTTTCAGTAGATAATTACCTACGGATATAATCTGTAGGTAATGCACTCGTTGGAATTACCGACGGATTATAATCTGTAGGTAATGTATTCACCTAAACAAAATATTTTTATTTATTAAAACCCTCCCCTTTATATTAAATTTTTATTATTTATTATATTTTCGAAACTTTGAATTATTATTAGATTAAGGGAATTGTCATTGGCAGGATTCGAACCCAAGTACCTCGAGTTGGAGGCTGATACTCCAACCACTAAGCTATTAGGATATTTTGATAATAATTTACAAATAAATTATATTTATATTTATCCGTGTAAATATATAAATATAAAAAAAATATATAAATATAAAATATATAAATATAAAATATATAAATATAAAATATATAAATATATAAATATAAAATATATAAATATAAAATATATAAATATAAAATATATTTATATATTTGTATTTATATATTTATATTTATATTTATATTTATATATTTATATTTATATATTTATATTTATATTTATATATTTATATTTATATATTTATGTATTTATGTATTTATATATTTATGTATTTATATATTTATGTATTTATATATTTATATATTTATCTATTTATATATTTATGTATTTATGTATTTATATATTTATGCATTTATGTATTTATGCATTTATGTATTTATGTATTTATATATTTATGTATTTATGTATTTATGTATTTATATATTTATGTATTTATGTATTTATATATTTATGTATTTATATATTTATGTATTTATATATTTATGTATTTATATATTTATGTATTTATGTATTTATATATTTATATATTTACACGAATAAATATAAGTATAATTTTGTTGTAAATTATTATTAGAATATCCTAATAGTTTAGTGGTTGGAGTATTAGTTTTCAACTTGTAAGGTACTTGGGTTCGATTCTTACTAGTGACAATTCTTTTAGTTTAATATAATTTACCTACGGAATTGCTCACGGATGACATTACCTACGGATAATATCCGTAGGTAATGTACAATTTACCTACAGATTTTCATCCGTGGGTAATATCCGTAGGTAATGTAAAATTTACCTACGGATTTTTATCCGTAGGTAATAGGCTTTTTTTTGTAGTGAAAGAAAAAGGTTACACTTAAAAGATGACATCTCATAGTTTATAGATTAAAATTCATCTATTCATATTTATAAAATGAAACATTTATTGGCACAAGACTTCATTTAATAGTATGTTAAAATCTTAATTAAGTTACTTTCAGTATGACATAAATTATGTTAGGAAGAGAATATATATTTTTTGAAGTTTCAAGTTCTGTGCAAGGTTAATTATTATTTTGATAATTACTTATATTAATGATTGAAAGTAAAGACATTATATAAAAGGTTGATAGTTTAATTTAAAGTTTAAGATAAATTATCAAATATTTTTCTATATTTAATTCTTTTACACTCTCTAGCTTTGAATTCGTGGATCAGACAAGTTGTCGATTTAATATTGAATAAACAAATAAAATAAGAGATGTAATATGTATATCCATTTTAAAATAAAATTAAATTGTTTTTTTGACAGAATAAAATTATAAAAGTTAATTTATAAAAATTAGTTTATATTAATTTCTATAATTTTTTAAATTAATTAGAAAATAATTTCAGTTTTTTTCTTCTATAAGTATTTATGAAAGAGTTTCTCTGAACAAACTCTATATTTATAGTATTCTTCTTTCTAATCTCCAATAATATGGAAGCATATTCTTCAATTATTTTTTTCTATTATTATTTGATGAACAACATTATTCCTTTCCATTTAATAGATATTTAGAATATAAACCTTTTCTCGATAAATTATTTATACCAACATTAATTTCTTTTTATTGTATATTTCTCATAAAAGTCATCTTGTAAATGTGAAGTTATAATTATATTTATAAATATTAAATCCATGAAACTCAAACTCATTAGTCTTTCACTTCTTTCTATCTATTTTGAAAAATATATGATAGGATTAATTAATATATAAAAAAAAGATTTTTTCATAATCAATATTTATAAATATTCGATAGATAATTTTAAAATATATTTTTTATTGATGATAAAAGAACAAGATACGATAAATAAATAATAATATAAAAATTAAAAAAAATTAGTGAATATATTTTTCTTACCCTGTTGTGTGGTATCAAAATATCATTATTATACTGTAAAAAAAATTAACAATAAAATATGATAAAAAATGTTGTAGGCAGGGCATTCCTAGGACGGTTTTTCTTTTTCTATTCGTAACTCTACTTTTCTAACGAGCAAATTCAGAACTTAATCAACTCAACTTTTTTCTATTAAAGCTTTTCTCTTTTTTTTTTTTTATTAGTCTAGATTCATTGCTTTGCTTCTCCATCCTTAAGTAGCCGATATAGTTGGAATTGAAGCAATTCGTTTTGATAAAGAATGTGACTGTGATTGTGACTATGAGTATATATGAATGAATTAAAGCCATGATTTGGGGTTGGATAAGCGTAGCACTGAAACTTATTTTTTACTTCCAACATCATTCAGTAACAAATTGCTACCACATAACATCACACCAATTTTCAAGAACGAGTCAACGAAAAAGGTTATGTATGGGGAACCAAATTGAGAGAAGATTAGTAAAGAAATGAAACAATTTTTGTAAGGAAATGACAAAGAAATTGAGGAGAATGAAAAGTTAGTCAAGTTTGGCAAGTTTGAACAGAATAGAGGATGGACTTTATAGCATTTATGTGGTGGGTTCTGCTATTATTGCAATTGCTTCACCTGTATCTCAATCCACACTCCACCAAATTGAATCAGTCATTTATATTTAATTTTGCTGGATTATTTATTTTATTGGTAAAATTATGAATCTTATTTTATTAATTTCTTCATCTTGAGATTATATTATAGATTGGTCATAATTAAGATCAATTTTACTTTTCCGTCACAAGATCGACCACAATGATAATCATGGTCTAGGCTCACCAATTCACCGCAAAATATATTAAGAATTATTTGACTATCAAGTAGTGGAGGATCCTCAATCCATGTGAAAGGTTACAAGAAACCCAATAAATACAAACTTATGCCCCATGAGGAACAGATAATAAATATTGATTATTCTAAAAAAAGTCTAAAGTTCTTATATAAGATTAGTTTTTTTAAAACAATTTATAAATCAAAATCTTAATTGACTTAAAGATAGTAATCACAATGTGAGTAAGCCACCTGCATAAGTGTGGGATTACCAGAAACAGGCCGTGTAATAATTAAAAAGGTTGGTTCATTGTATAGACATATTTGTCAAATTATCTTCCTAAAATTTCAAGTATCAAAATTAAAATAAAATATAATAATAATTTTTTTAATACAAAATTAATTGTTATAAATTTTTATTAAATATCCTTTTTTTAACCCTAACAAATTACAAGGGACAGGGCTAAGGAACTGCGAATTAAAAATATTTAAATCATCTTTCGTTTTTCATGGCAGGCTTATGGCGGCGCCTTGTCCCTCCAGCATTGTCACTCCAGCCTAAAGAATTGACAAGTTTGACTCATTCACATGTCATCGGTTAAAAACTAAATATTATTGACTTGCCAAACTCTTAAAAAGAGTTTGATTAATTCACAGGACACTCATTTTAAATGAAAAAAAAATGAAGAAATTTGTTGAAAACTGAGTCAAACTAAAAAATTGAATAATACATCCTCGAACATGCCACAAACACTACTTGAATATTCAAAACATTGTCATTGGTTTATTTAATTGAACAGAAAAAGTCACTCTTAGATTTTGGGAGCGTATTCACACAGAAAGAAGGAGAAATAGATAATAGAACCAATCTTGAAACATTATTCTTCATGTTTAATACTAGCATAGTAGATAGAAAGAACACTTGTCTTAGTTACTGAACTGTATTTCTTATTCTACTCTCAATATATGGATCCTCACTTCAACTGTTCATGTCCTGTTCTGCTGGTGGTGCTGTTAAAGCAGTCATGGCTACTCCCCGACTTCGTTGCTCTACGTTTCCATGCCACCCTACCCATACAAAGTTCAAACCAAAAATAAATTAAACAAAAAAGGAATTTCTCTAGCTATATAAAATAAGAAACTTCTTATTTCCATTGCAAGGGTATTCAAACAAATAAACATGAGTCTGATTATGCCTACTTTAGAAACTGACTTTTTCTTTTTAATGACTAGTTCTCTTTCCTATTCAGAAAATTCATAAAAGCTAGTATTAAACTAGATTCCCATATCGAAAAGCACTAGAGAAAATGATTGAAAAAAGGAGGCACAAAAAGTACCAGAATTAATTAAGAAAAAAAGGAAAACAAATTAATGAAGCGAAAAAGTTCATAGGAAGGTACCAATAGTCATATCAAAGCCACGGTTTTCAAGCTCACGATATTCTTGACAGAGGGCGCAGGGCTCGCAGCAGCAATGAATCAAGCAATCCGTGCAACCATTTCCCTTTAAACCATGCTGTCTTCTCATCTTGGATCGGTAGAAGCAAGAGTATAGGCAAGAACAACATGTCACACAACAAATCAGGGTATACAGAGCCCCACTCGTACCACATGCTACAATCCACAATACAAATTAAACAATCACTCATTCATTCATTCATCATATCAATAATACCACACCAAGCTATATAATTTGTGAGATTCAAACATTTTCTTACATGAGGATCCCCTGTCAACTATTTCTGCAATTCGGCCAAAGGTAATACATGGACACCACCACGTTAAGCAACCTGAAACAAATTATTCATCATAAATTTCATAACCCCACCAACCCAATCGAGAATTAGAACATAGTAAATACTATGAAGTGAACGAAGCGGGTCGATCTTACAGTTTCCACTATCGGAAAAGCAGTCACAGAGGCCGGTGGACCATTCAATGATAGGTTTGGGCTGGGGAGGTGCCGGTGGGGTGTAGGAAGAAGAAGTGTCGTTGGTGGTGAAGGTTGTTGAAGTGCTGTAGCTCACCGGGAAACCGGTGGCCGGTGGCTTCGTTGGATCTGAGGCTGGTTGATACATAATGCTGGTGCAGGAAATGAACTATGGCTTGGGTCAAGATGGATCAATTGGATCAATTGGTTTGGATAAAAAGGTGTGATTTTGAATATCGAAATTGTAGATTTTGGAAAACACACTGAAGGGTTGTACTAAGAAGTAAGTCAAAGTCTGGGGTTGGATAAGCGCGTTTGATTCATATTTAATAACGACGGATTGGGAGAGCTAGGTTCAACCACGTGGGACCGAAATAAAAAAACATTAATAATTCTGAAACGCAGGTTGTTACAGTTTGGTTTCCTCTTATCTTTGACCAATTCCATTATTTTATGTTTTTTCTTAGTAATTAGCATGTCAAAACATCAAAAGGTTCATTATTTTTATTTTGTTTTAAACGTCAAAGGGTTTGTCGGAAATATCCACCAGTAACGTTTTGGAGTAATTGAATTGAAAAATGCATATTAAAGAAAAAAATATCTTTTTTATGGAAAGAACAAAGAAACTACGAAGAATGAGAAAGTAGTCAAATTTGACAATCGTGGTAGAAGGTTTGAGGGGAGTAGGATTGGGTTTGGAAAGATCAAGTTTGACGCGGCATCATCTAAACGATGAAATGACACTGTCATGTAAGAAAACAAGGATCATAACCCGTGCAACGCACGGGATTTTTAAAATTTTTATATTAATAATAAATAATATTTTAATATTAATTTGGTTGCAGCAAATTTTATGTTGTAGAATGAACTTCCTTTTTGTGGAGAATGACTTCCTTTTTGTTTTTGTTCTTGCTTGTTTTGAATAATTTGGTTTCATTATTTTAAAATATGTAATTTTGTTACACAAAATTATATAAGATGATGAGATATACAATTATGAGAAATACACTAAAAAGTATTTGATCTATTAGTATATTTTGTCTATTTACTATTAAAACATAATTATAATCTCTATTCTTTCAAAAAGTGTTACTGTATTAGTATAAGTTTATTGGCTTGTTTGTATAAAGTAATTGTACTTTTTTTTAATAATAGTTACTTTTTTCTACAACATATTTGCATAAACTCATCCAAAAAAGAGAGTAACAAAATATAGTAATAACATGACCAAAAAACTAAAATAAGTGATTGATTATAAATTGAAGTAATAATTTTGTGTGATATTTTGGAAAAGGTAAAAAGTAAAGTTAACTTTGAACATTGTACTCGCAATTTATGATTTATGATCTACAGATAAGGTAATTCTTTCTAAACATAAGTTTCTCATAAGGCATAATGTGTCTTTTTTATGCATCTATTACAATAGGTACAATATTTTTTGTCTTTTCTAATCACTCTATTGCTGACACTATGTCTTTCTTATTCTAAAACAGTTGATTAAATTTTGTGAAAAACAACAAAATGAAAAGGTAATTGAACATTGAAATAGATAACATGGGAGTTTGGTACTGCTGCAGATGGTTGATAAAATAGAAACTGCCTGTCAACATTATTCATATTCATTTATAACAGGTATATGTTTATTGCTTTTTCAAGACACTCAATGTGTAACTTTTCTTCTATTGATTTGTATATAAAATTGTTACAACATAGCTTCATAATTTTTCAGTAATGTCACCTACCCTAATTTGATAATGTATTTCAATTTTGTTTATTTTGACATGTTCAAGAAAAATTTCAACCAAAAACATCTATATCTAATATAGTAGCAATTATGACAATAATTTTCTGTATATAAATTATATGTTATAATCATAACAGAAGAGGACATAGATTCGAATGAGAGAATATATATTTATTTTGTGCAAAAGTAGGAAATTTAACATTTAAAATTCAAAATACAGAAAATTTAACATTTAAGATTCAAATTCAATCAAAAGTCATGATAGACATATTACAAAAGAAAATCCTAAAATAATAACTTAACTATATTACAAAGAGAATGTTTATTACACAAGTCATATTATCATATCCAAAACCAAACTTTGACTAAATATTTTGAATTGTTGCCGACTTGAAATATCACTTCATGACTTTCCTTCAATCCAATTTTATGACAAAATTGTTTCTACCCTTTTCCGATTTTGGAGGATTTTTTTGGTTGGTCTTTAATTAGAAGTTTACAACGAACATGACTTACTTCTCCCCAGAGTAATAAAGTTTTGAATCTACCTCAAAATCTAGTGGCAAATCCTATTAAATATTGAACGCTAAAATTAAAATATCACTATAATAATAAAAAATAGATAAACAATTAATATAAGGATGAGAATAAGAATAGAAATCAAACCAAATGACTTCATTTGCTTTGGGATTTAGTCAGTGTTACTGGAAAATAAACTAAACATTCCCATCATGAAAGGCGATCCTCAAAGTTCTTTACAGTTAAAAGTGTAGAAGTACCTTTAATTATTGTTATTCGAAAAATAGAATGTTCAGCATATTGAAACAAAATGAAATGGTTCCCAGTCATATAGTAACCTTTAAGGACATTGTCAAGTACCTAAGGAAATTTATTAATCTTAAAAACCATGATTGTGCTATTACAAAAAGACAAAAGAGTATATGAACATGCATAGTTCATGAAGGATGACAAAAGAAACCATTAAAGTCAATATAAATCAATACAACAACAAATTACACATTATTACATAAACATTTGTATCATTTCCAAGCAAAAATTTTGATTGTATTTTTTGGAGGGGTGCTAGCCTAAATCATGAGGTGGTCATCTTTCAATATGTAATTAGAATGACAAAATTTCTTTCATCCTTTGCCAATTTTGATGGACTTCCTCGGTGAATCTCTGATCAAAAGTTTACACTTGAATCGACAATATTCTCCACAAAGTATTACAATTTTAAATCTACCTTTTCGAACATAAGTTACAAAATCCACTAGCAAGTCCTATTAAAAACAAAGACCTCAAATTAATATACCACCATAAGGATGAGAAAAAAAAGGGACATAAGTTTTAGGTTATAAAATAATGACATGAGAATAAAAATCATACCAAATGACTTGCATTGCTTCCAGATTTGGTAATTGTTACTGTAAAAAAAAACTAATCCATCCCACCATTCAACACGGGCAAAAAACTTTTGAAGAGTATTTGGTGCACATGAACTTTTGAAGATAGTTATCTGGAAAGTATTGTTACCTACATATTGAAATAATATGTAGTTGTTCCTAGTTAAATTGTAAAACTTTCTCATGTCAACCCAACCTTCTGTCAGCAGTGGTTTATGTAGATCCATAGTATAGGTAACGATGTGTCTATTATTTTTGTCATCAATAAGACACCATTGATTACCCAGTTCTAAGAAAAACAACATAGCAAACTCACGATCTACATAACCAAAATCCTGTAACAAAAATAGTCAAGACAGGTAATAAGGACTAAAGAAATAAAGTTTGAACAAAAGATAAGAAAATAAAAGAAAGGATTCATTAACCATTCGAATACGATTTTTACTTCATAACCAAAAAGTAAAGAAAAAATACCACATCCTGCAGATGTATTGTACTAAAGAATTCATTCATCTTTCTCCGAAGTATGGTGGATGTGTTATCCATTTCTTATAAAAAAGTTGCTATCAAGAGATTATGCAAATGAAAGGTGAAGAAGCATATGACTTAATGGGCCTATGAATAAACTTTAAAAAGAAAGACAACAGATGAATCTTTGAAAATATCAACAGTAATAAATGCTACTATCAGAGTTATATGTTTCCAATGTAAATCATAATTGTAAATAATGAATAAAATAATAAAATAAATAAATAGATGATGGGATGGGAATAGATCAGTACATTTCTCACGGACTAAAGTTGAATGATGGGATGAGATGGGAAAAAATAGAATGATGGTTTCTCTTTCTTCGATGTATGCTTCCTGTATCTTCCATTTTGTGTAGAAGAAAGAAGAACCGACACGATAATAATAAATAAATACAGGTAAATTTTGAATACAATTAAAGATTGAAAAAAAGATAAAAATACTTAGAAATAGTTATATTAAGTGGGCTTCCATTGCTCCATCAAAAAATATAAAACCGTGTTATAGAAAAAATATGTGTAAATATGAGTAAATAATGTTGGAAAATTAATAATAATAATAATAATAATAATAATAATAATAATCCTGATTTTGATTCTAACAATCAAACATAAACATAATCCCATACTCGATAAACATGCTTAGAACCTGAATGCGAAAGCGTACACGAATTAGCCATAACGATGATGTCTTTGTAGAGCACTATATTGATCTTATGGTCTTCCACCTGAAGAGCACCTGTATTTCCCTCTTGATTTTCTCTCTTGATGGGGATAGAAAGAAAGGAACAGGAATGAAACTTACGTTCTGTCTACGTGCTCCCAGAAGGGGACCATGACCCTTTTGATAACCAGAATTAGGTTAATTACTTAAATTTTAGTATTTCCAATTTGGCCCCTCATCAAATTAGAAATTGCTCTATGGTCTCTACACAATTTTATTTTCATGACATATGCCTTTAGCCAAAACTTTAATTTAGTCAGATCACTTTATTATTTGGCTTAATAAATAATGGCCATAACACATTTAAATTATGTATCATATATATACATGACCCAAATTTTTCCAACAATCTCCCACTGGTCACAAATATATATGTCCTTACAACCTTACAAATGTGTTATACTTTATGAGCTCAAAATTGCCATTATATTCCTTTAGCATACTGCAAAAGTCCTGTCCATTAATCATATTAGGATATAGAACCAAACCAGCTTTTCATTGCATCATCGCAACTAAAACCAACAATGATTACTCATCCTAACATAACCAAATGACATGGATTCATCATGAAATGTGTAGCATGAAAAATTACGTGAAGGTGATCTGTACACGTCTATTTTCAACTGGTCCAAACTTTAAGTTATTGAGATCGATATAATATCCTTAATGTACAAAGTGTAATGAATGAACGAAAAAACCGCATATCTATAGATAACCAAATATGTCCAAAAAACAATGTATACATATATGAAATTAAACATAGAACATAAAATATATAAAAGTGACTAACTCTCACTAAACCACAAATTCCTCAAACTGTAAAACACCCATATGAGCAAAATGCTCATGAAAGACCTTGGGCGAAGTCCTTTAGTCAGAGGATCTGGTATCATGGAGTTTGTCCTTAAGTGTTCTATGAAAATCATGTCCACTTTGTACTCTTTCCTTAACAATACAACTGATTTATTGTCACAATATAACTTAAGTGGTCTTTCAATGTCTTTCACAATTTGCAGCCTCGTGACAAAATTTATCACCATATTCCATGATTTGATACCTCATAGCAAGTTACAAATTCTTGACATCCTACAAAATCCGAGTCGAAAACCCAGCGATCTCCAACCTGGTCCGACCTCCTATATGTGAGCATATAATCTTTTGTTCTCTTTAAATATCTTATGACCCTTTTTGCTGCTTTTCAATGGTCTATTCCTGGATTGCTTAAATATCCGTCTAGAACCCCAACTATATATGCTATGTCTCGGATGCGTACATACTTGGGCATAGATCAAACTCCCTACAACTCGATGCATAGGGAATCTTTTACATTTCCTC